GCCCGGCGTCCTACTACTAGACTACCATGCCTCCTAAACATGAAACATAATCGGACTCCACAAATGTTAGCGCACGCTCTTGGATCTTTTCATCTTTCTCACACTTTTCATACTAGTAAAGTGCCATACCAAGGGACAGAAATTGAATTTGAACAATGAGCATTTTTTCCCTACTTGATCAAACATACTCCAGGAAGTATTTTGAGATCTTAAGCTAAAAGGGTAGGAGAAGGCAAAACACCTTCTAAATAGTTTTCAAATCTTGAAAATAGAAATTTTGTTTCAAAAATTATACCATTAATAAAAAAGGAAAATGCAGAACTAATTATGGAACAGGATGAAATATAAAATGAATTACAACACTTTTATGAAAAATTATATTCTGCAGATAATGATCTTCATGAGGTAAATTCAAATCAGTTTTTAAATGGTAATAGTGTTCTAAAATTGAGTTGTCAAGAATCAGAAAGTTCAGAGGGGAGTATTTCTTATAATGAAGCATATTGTACACTTAAAAAAATGAAAGTCCAGGATCTGATGGGTTTACTTCTGAATTATTTCAAATACTTTTGGAAACCTGATGAACCTCTAAAGTAAGAAAGCGCTAGGGAAGTCGAAGAAACTCTTGTCTTTTTTTCTTTTTTTTCTTATATTTAACCATCACAAGGACTTTGAAATGTTTTTTCTGATTTACATAAATATATATATACACTATTTGGAAGAGAACCTCTATGCATTTCATAAAATAATAACTCAGTCGGAAGATTGGGGTGGCCGAAATTGTGCTGCCTTACACCAAGTTCGGACAGGCAATCTGAAATGAGTCCGGCCCACGTTGTAGTCAGATAAATTATGACGTCATAAAGCATACCCCACATGAAGGTTTCAATAAATTCGGCTTTTATGTCTACAGGACCGATATGTGAAGCTGTCAGTGTGTTACACGTATGACATACATTAGTGGCAATTCGATTACAGAAAGTTCGCAAAACTAGAAAGAAGTGAGGTTCTACACTCCCTTAAGTAACTTTCTCCCTTTTAGTTATTTTACAAGAGGCCCAGAGGGCCTGTATCGCTCACCTGTATATGTTCAAAATAATTGGTATGAAGTTAGCATATAGCACTCCATGGTAGGTGCTGTAAGTACATATGAAATTTCAGAGAGATCCATCCAGTACTTGAGATATAGCGAGAACAAACTTCAAACAGACCCACGGTTTATACAAAATTGGTTCCCCTTCACCCAAGGATACTTCAGACCAAATATGGATAAAATCCTTTCATTCCTACAGAAGAAGAAGAAGGATTTTAAAGAATAATTTGCTATGTTTCCCCTATTGGGACCCGACTCTATGGCTCCCGCGGGGCCAGACCCACAGTTTATACAATATTGGTTCCCCTTCACCCAAGGATGCTTCAGACCAAATATGGAACAAATCCTTTCATTTCTACAGAAGAAGAAGAAGAAGAAGAAGAAGAAGAAGAAGAAGAAGAAGAAGAAGAAGAAGAAGAAGAAGAAGAAGAAGAAGAAGGATTTTAAAGAATTTGCTATATTTCCACTATTGGGCCCCGCCCCTCAGCCCCCAGGGGGGACAGACCCACCGTTTATACAAAATTGGTCCCCCTTAACCCAGGGATGCTCCACACCAAATATGGACCAAATCCTTTCATTCTTACAGAAGAAGAAGGATTTTAAAGAATAATTTGATATGTTTCCCCTATTTGGCCCCGCCCCTCAGGCCCCTGGATGGCCAGACCCACGGTTTATACAAAATTGAGTCCCCTTGGCCCAAGGATGCTCCAGACTAAATAAGGATAAAATCCCTTTATCCCTACGGTAACAGAAGGATTTGAAGGTTTTACCTCTATTTACCCTATTCGGCCCCGCCCCTCTGCCCCAAGTGGGGCCACACCCGCCATTTATACAAAATTGAGTCCCCTTGGCCCAAGGATGCTCCAGACTAAATTAGGATAAAATCCCTTAATCCCTACAGTAGAAGAAGGATTTTAAAGGTTTTACCTCTATTTCCCCTATTTGGCCCCGCCCCTCTGCCCCCAGGAGGACCACACCCACCATTTATACAAAATTGAGTCCCCTTGGCCTAAGGATGCTCCTCGAAATTTTCCGTATGAATGTCCCCCAAGTCAACTGAACTGCTAAGATCATCAAAGTTGTAAATATTTGCTCAAGACAACAAATATCAGGGGTGGTCGGACTTATCCCCGGCTAAACTTGCCCTGGTCTCCCCTTAATGAAACTCTTCAACAGTGTCAGTGTATTAGTGGAGACAAACCTTTAAGTCTGTTTTTTTTTGTCTGGTAGTGTAGTTCCTGGGAAATCTTACCTTATAAAATATACGGGTATAAGAAGTATACCTGATAAAATGTACGGGTATAAGAAGTACCCAGTAGACAAGAATGACTATACTGGTAGAACTGTAAATTAAAAATGTCATCACATGAGTAAGGAAATGACACCGTCAGTTGGAAGGACTTGGATTGGGAAACAGTCGTACTTGGGGATAAAATATCATATCAGTGTTACTTCAATAAGATTATTTTCAAAAACTGACTTAAATGGTGAGGTGCTCCATTTTGAGTACCTACCTGGCAAGCTAGAATTTCTTATCAAACCAAATTACATGTAATGAGCACTATAAATAGACACATGTGCTGGTGATTCCCAATCATTATAGCGTCGAACTGAAAGCATTGTTTTCCTTGTACAACTCTACTGAAATTCTATTTATGAATCGAACTTTGATAAGTCGAATTCCTCGCTGTTTCGAACTTTGATAAGTCGAATTCCTCGCTGTTCCGAATTACAATCACGGTCCCTTGGGTTAGAACAAAAAATCGAAAATTACAACTAATAAATTAAAGTAAAGTAATTACCTGTACGAGAACACTAAAATGTCCCGGGTCATTTTAACACCAAAACATGCAAAAAACAAAAGATTCAGTAGATTGCATTTTCAGTGGGTCGGTCGGAAAACAGCAAATAACATTTTATTATGAATATTCCTAAAAGGAAAAGACCAATATTCAATTGTCACCTTTGACCTCTAGTTACACATATATTCATATCGTCAAGATTACTCGTTTTTTATTATATCTTATTTCTTTATGAAGCCGGAGTTGAGAGGCTCTTGAAAAATCTCAACCCTACTAAAGCATCAGGGCCATATGAGCTAAAACCACGGCTATTAAATGAGCTAGCCGCTGACATTTCACCCATACTGACTCTAATATTCCGAAGTCCCTCAGTACTGGATATGTTCCAAAAGACTGGAGAACAGCCTATGTATCACCAGTGTGCACAAAAGGGCCCAAATACAACCCTGAGAACTACCGCCCAATTTCTCTCACTTGTATCTGCTGTAAGCTCCTTGAGCATATCGTTGCTAAACACATTATTACACATGCCGAACAAAACAATATTTTCTACAGTCACCAACATGGTTTTCGAAGAGGCCGCTCCTACATGTATGAGTCTCAGCTTTTGAAATTTACTGATGACATTTCTGCTAATCTTGAATCTGGTAAACAAACTGACGTATTAGTCATGGATTTTACTAAATCTGTTGATAAAGTCTCGCACTTACTACTGTTACACAGACTCAAACATTACGGCATAACTGGTCGCACAAACAACTGGATTCTTTGTTTTCTTTAAAATAGAACTCAAGCAGTTGTCCTTGAGGGAGAAAAATCTGGCTTTGGTCCTGTGGAGTTTGGGGTTCCCCAGGGCTCAGTCCTGGGACCTTCTCTTTTTCTGTATTACATAAATGGTCTGCCATCTGGTTTAACTTCATCTGTTCGTTTGTTTGCTGACGACACTTTCTTGCTATAGGATCAACGTCTGACGCAAAAATCCTCCAGAGAGATCTTGATTTACTGGCATCATGGGAAACATCTTGGAAAATGGCATTCCATCCAGATAAATGCAGTGTAATATCCATCACGAAGAACAAAAAAGCAGTCAAACATAAATACACATTGCATGGCCATACCCTACAACACACTGAAAAAAACAAATACTAGGGCGTTACAATCAGCCAAGATCTTAAATGGGAACCCCATATACATAACATATGCAATAAAGCCAGTTCCACAGTAGGCTTCCTTAAAAGGAATCTCAACATCAGTTCCAAGAAAGTTAAGGAGCAGGCATACAAATCTCTTGTACGACCATCTCTAGAGTATGCCTGCACTGTCTGGGATTCCTACTTACAACAAGACATAGTTGCCATTGAAAGAGCCCAAAGACGAGCAGCTAGATACACCACCAATAGCTACAGGAACACCTCTATTGTCACTGACATGCTCCACCATCTTGAGTGGGAGCCATTATCCCTAAGGAGAAAAAACGCTCGTCTCACAATGCTGTATAAAATAATTAACAACCAGGTTGCAATTCCACTTTAAAAAATTCAATAAATTACACTTTAAATTACTACTTTTAACTCATTGTATATACATCATTATATTTTTTTGTAAATACTTTTTTTTTTTTTAAATCTATGTCTTGTTGTATGTAATACCTCCTCATGACATTCCTTCAGTCAGTTGAAGTTGGTCATTAACGGTAGATAGATAGATAGAGAGTCATATGAAAAGCTGATGCTAAAGCATTATCAGTATTTAGTAATTAAGAATAAATTATGTCATCTTTTGTTTTTTGTTTGGTGATAACTGTTTTGACACATGATTCGGAGGTTAATGTTAATGTTTTATTTGACTTTAAATTAAGTTTAAAAAAAAAAAAAGCAAAAGAAATTCAACGATCCGGCATAGTATCTAATTCCCATTCCTAGTCGAAGGGAGATAACTCTCTGTATGGTTTGCATGAGCAGAACGATACGATTCGGTTGTCGAGTTGGTTGGGTGACTACATCACCTGTAAGTCACAAAAGAAACACGCTCCGGATTTCCCCTAGTCCGGATCTCCGTGTTTACGTTTACAAGTACGCATGTCATATGTACGAAACTAAACCCGGACGACTTAGCCAGCTTTACCTTGCATGCCTCCATTTTGGATTTTGAAAGCATCTCGCACATTCGACACAAGGTTTTACAATTGAAAGACTTACATGATACTAAACAAATGGCAGGGCTGCCAAGACGTATTATAAAGGTGAATGTTGTAACTTTATCTTTTAGATCTTTATTTTATGGTTATCTTATATTTTTCTTGTGTGTATACAGTTTATGCCTTCATTCTGACAGCATCCAGGGAGCACTGGGATGGTAAATCAGGTAGATTTTGATTATATTTACTGTAGTCAGAATTGACTATATGTTTATTGGACGAATGTAAACAAACATTCAGTAATCTACTGGTCATTTTTATCTCGTTCGTTCATATCCTAGAAATGGTGGACTTAGCAGGTGAATCGGTGAAATTAAATGTTTCTGTCTATTAAATTACTTAATTTCCGTTGGCTTTGTTGAATTTCATTGCTCCTTTTTGAGTTTTTCCCCGTATCAACAATCAACATACCTGCTATATAATAATAAATCAATCCAACTATAGCTTGTTCTGTTCATTATGTACAAAAAAGCGCATTCTGACTGTACAAAAGAGCCATTCAGACTGAATAACTGTTTAATTTCTACTCTGCATTTAGTTCTTTGTTGAAACCCGGTGAATAAGTGTATTGCTTGTTATAACAAGAGGTTCTTTTATACAGGAGGAATTCAAAGATAAACATCCCGGCCACAGGTGATGCTGATTTTCTGGCACCAGGTGTGCCATCGAAAGATACTTCAGAATAAGAATGATAGCATTAGCAATATAAAATCTTAGGATTCACCGATTCGCATGCTGAGTCCACCATTTTTAGCCCAAAGGGCCATGTGAGCTTATGTCGTACTGCGGCATCCGCCGTTTGTCTATAAACTTTTTCTTTTAAACAATTTTCTGAAGAACTGGAGGACCTAGGGTCATGCTATTTGGCCAGTAGGTACCTGGGATGGAGTGCTATAAAGTTTCCTCATTAAAATGACCTTGACCTACTTTCAAGGTCACAGGTCAAATATGTTCAAAACTTCAAACAACAATATCCTAAGAACCATTTGGACTAGAGTCATGATACTTGGGTATGTTATGTACCCAGCAGTGCATTTTTTTTTCTTTTTGTCAATTTCAGTAATGAGGTCAAATGTCAACTTTAAGTGCTAGTTGGGGGTCAAATGTCAACATGGAATAAATATAGCTTTAACAATCTTCTTCTCAAGTTCCATATGGCCCAGGGTATTGATATTTGGCCAGTAGGTGCCAGGAATAGAATGCTATGAAGTTTCCTCTTTAAATTACCTTGACCTACTTTCAAGGCCACAGGAGTCAAAAATGTGAAAAAAATAATCAGACGACGAAATCCAAATAAGCCTTTGGTCTAGAGTCATAATACTTGGGTATATGTAGATCAGCAGTGTGAATCTTTTTCTTAATTACAATAATGAGGTCCAGGCCCAGATGTGACCTCATCAGGGATTTAGAATTAATTCTTGAATTTCTATTCTGGAGCCCCATATTTTGAATACCAAGCTTGCAACTAAAAGAGTTAGATACATTTAGAGGTATGTCTAACCTTTGTATATTCTGTACAATTGTCATCTCATTCTGTTCTTATTTTCCAGGAAACCCAACGGTTAATGCAAGAACCAGTTAGCGGTATTACAGCTTTACCAGATGAAAATAATGCTCGATATTTCCATGTAACAGTTATTGGTCCAAAGGAGGTAACACAAAATTATGACACTTCAATTTTTGTATGTATTCAATAATTAAAGTAAATATCAACCAAATAATTCTGTTTTCAAAGACAAATTATCTGCTTTGAAAATTTCAGGATGTAATCTAGAACAATTTTACTAATAAAATTGTGTAGTAAATTGTAATCTTCACCAATCATTTGAATTTCAAGAAAATAGCCCAAGAACACGGAAGAATTTTCTACCAAGTCAAAATAAAAGGGAAACTATATAAATGCAGAAATTCTGATAATATCATTTTAACGCCAAATATTATTCTTATAAGAGGTAATATACAATAACATGTATTAAATTGAACAAAAATTAGCTATATTTCTGAAATTTCATTTATAAGGCTTTGCCACCAAGACCATTTCCGTGTTATGAGACCATAACACAGGCGTAGTGATATCTCCCCAGGTCCGACTAACTACCTCATCGCTGTTCCCCTCCATACTAGCAAGCATATAAGCAAATTAAAATTACCCAATATGATTAAACAATATTCATCGTTTTATGAAAGACTAGTATAAAATGTGAATTGAATATATTGATTGATTATATTATGGAAATAGTATCAATATTTTTGTTTTTATTTCAACTAGCTATATTTTTTACGAGGAAATTCATGAGACAATATTCCGTGAGCAATTCCATGGGCTGTTCTACCTCTTGAAAACACAGTAAAATTGGAATTTAGAAGTGCGTTGTGAACTTAGAAATGAAAAGTAAAAAAAATGAAAATATATTAAAGCATAAAGCAGCATTCTGTGTTTTGGTTCTATAATAAAAACAAAAAAAGATTGCAGACAAATAATCATGATGTTTTGTGTTATAGGACCATAACACAAAACAGAATGCTGTTTAATGCTTAAATAACTGGTATACAGGGAAACATTTTGTCTGTGAATCCACAGTTATTTTATTTACATTACATGTACATGTAATAATGATATAAATTTGACTATTTCAATATATAGACCAATACTGATATTAAGTCAATTTCATTGTCCATATTTTCTGGTTCTCATCGGCTTGTTTTGTTTTGCTTCAACAATTTGTAAGTGAAGACTACACTATTCAACAGTTGCTTGGCCTGTTATTTATATTTCCTTTAATAATCATTATATTTTTGATGCGTTATTTAAAAAATAAAATTTGTTTTTACAGTCACCGTATGAAAATGGAACTTTTAAATTGGAGCTATTTTTACCTGAGGAGTATCCAATGTCGGCCCCAAAAGTTCGATTTTTGACGAAAATTTACCATCCAAATATAGATAAACTGGGACGAATATGTCTTGATATTCTTAAAGGTATGTATGCAAGGATTTCCAGGGTATATTGAGAATCAAAACTTCTATGTACTAGCTTTAGATTTAGAAAAATAATTTGATAGTAATTTTCAGATGTTGATGATCAGGCATGCATCATAAATCTGTACAAGTAGACTAATATCAAAGCATTTTACATATTTTTGAAAGGCCATAGCTTTATACGCGGTAAACTTCCTGTCAGTTCAAATAGGCAGATAGTTTGTACACACTTTTTAAACAACAAAAATAATAATTTTCTGTCTAGTGATAGTTTGAACCCAGCTTGAACCCAGCTTACACACATTTCAGATTGTTCGAACACAACTTGAGTACTGGAATTACGTACCGTAAAAACTCATGTAATTTGCGCACTTTTTTTTCAGAAATTTAATACCCAAAGTGGGGGGTGTGTATAATACACAGGTATAGAAAATTTCAAGTTTTTTTCAGGAAAAGATCGACGATTCTGAGAGATCGCCATCTTGGATTATGTCCCTTGGTACACGGAACTCTAAGACAAATGACGATCAACAAATTTATTTATGTCAAACATTAATTAAAGATACATAATGTGTTGTTATGTGAATTTATGTGAAAAGTATTAATAAATAGGTAACCGTTAACAAAAAAGTTTAGCCAAATTCCTATGCCAGAGAATCGCCGATCAACTTACGACATTACGTTTCGACATCTCGGTGCGTTTCCCCATACTATTACGAAAATGTAGTTGTTCAATTTAAGCTCCGTTCCCTGTAAGTTCTGTAAGGTTTTTTCAAATCGCCTATGCGTATACGTATAGCATGTTTTTTTCCGGCTCACTTTGATGTTGATCTTGCGTCTAACATTACGTAAACACGTGATTGATAATAACCTCGTGAATTATTTCAATATTTATTAAATGAAGCATCGTAAAAATAGTCTGCGTTAACTATTTTTTTCCTTGGAGTAGATTTGAAGAGGATGTATTGATTGTCAACGCTTCTAGTATAAACATATTTTTTATAATCCCTTTTCAGTCAAATCAGTCTGTAGTTATGACAATGCAGTAGGGCTTCGTAATTCAAGCCACGTGTTGGTGAGTGAAAAAAACAACAACACGGTCTGTCGATCGCAACTGCAAATCATTTCAATTAGTAGAGCTATTGTTAACAGGTAATCACAGAGAAAGTGTTAGCTCATTACTGCATTGTAATTTGTAAAAAATATCGCCAAACCACGGACTTAGATAATCTAATTCCGTGGCCAAACTGAACTGTGACATGACCTGGTTTGAAGTGATGTAACCCAAGCCGCCATGATGAGCCCTTCTCACTGATCATAATTATGATCAATTAAAAGTATCTAATTATGTCTTTCACCAGGAGATGTGCACCAGCGGTTACTTAACATCGAATTACTTATTAATTGTTAATATTATTAATATGTTTTTGTAAGCAAGTAAATGTTTTATGTAAAAGTTTGCTAAAATGAATTGATGTATGCCGATATGCGCACACGTGTGTGTCATGTGTGATCAGATAATTCAAAGAAAACAAGAAACAAAATACACATTTTACGTAGTTTCTTCTTGGTTTTAAATATCATTTTACAGCAATGAAAAAAAAATCATAGAAATATATTTAAAAAAAAAATTATTCAGAGATCGACTTTCGGAGCATGAACATCGTTTTTTTTTCAGATTTTTTGGGTACGCAAAATATTAGAGTAGAAGCTTTTTTCCCAATTTTCAGCCTCAAAAAGTACCTGCGCAAATTACACAGGTGCGCAAATTACATGGGTTTTTACGGTAATTATTGATCGAGGATAGGTAAGCTGTCTGCGATGCAATAATAGACTCGCGAAACTCCGTCTATATGCGTATCAACAGCGTTAAACTACTGAATAATGGGAAGTACTCATGTGCGACCATTGTTGTCATCAATGTCGGACAATTTGTACATAAATAAGCCATATGTCACCAATAATTGAGTTTCTTTCTTGTAAACATGTGCACGCGCCAGTCAAACATCTTTAGGCCCCAACCATGTATAATATCCTAACAGGACATGGAGCGAGGAATGTTACCGTCACATCGCTGACAGACGTGTGTATTGTCATGATATTACTGTAATAACAATTTTAGTAGTCTAAAGTAGTCTTTGAGTTATCACTGCCCTGCCCTGCCAGTGTTTAACACTAACACTACCTGGGTAGTCTTCTAGATTGAGACTAGTAAATTTCAGCAAGGACTGGGGAATCACTTATCATAACTTTGGACTTGTTAAGTAAATGACCATTCCTTTTGATTCAAATACAGATATATTGCATGATTACTGTCATTTTTTCTAAAAATGGTCATATCTTTATTGAAGGAGATTTTGTTATGTCACCTACAGTCATTTGGTGTCTGTTTTGTGCTGAGGATGTTTACTTAGGAAGTCTCAGACTATTCACATTAACATAGGACTTGCAAATATGCTATTAAACTAGTCGTTTGGACTATCAAATAAAAACTAGAATTTTGTTTTTGTGAACAAAATCATATGTCTCCCCTTATTAGCCAATAGAAAAAATATCTCTTTATATATTGGGGCACGAGACCCAAATTTAGAATGCAACACTCCTACCTCCCAAGATACATTAAAACTAAAGCAAGTTTGGTCAACGTAGGTGAAATAACATGGAGGTTATGCCGTGGACAAACTTTGGTATTAAAAATAAAAAAGGGCAATAACTCTGTATATAGTTGGGCACAAATTTGATTTTAGTGTGAGAGATTCCACCTTCCTAAGATACATAAATATGGTAAGTTTGGTCAACATAGGTGAAATAACATGGAGGTTATGCCGTGGACAAACTTTGGTATTAAAAATAAAAAAGGGCAATAACTCTGTATATAGTTGGGCACAAATTTGATTTTAGTGTGAGAGATTCCACCTTCCTAAGATACATAAATATGGTAAGTTTGGTCAACATAGGTGAAATAACATGGAGGTTATGCCGTGGACAAACTTTGGTATTAAAAATAAAAAAGGGCAATAACTCTGTATATAGTTGGGCACAAATTTGATTTTAGTGTGAGAGATTCCACCTTCCTAAGATACATAAATATGGTAAGTTTGGTCAACATAGGTGAAATAACATGGAACTTATGCTCCGGACAAACTTTGTTATTACACAAAGGGCCATAACTCTGTAAATAGTGAAGCACGAAACCTAATTCTAGTGCACTGCACACCTCCTGTGGGTGATGCAGGTATAATTCAAGTTTGATTAAGATATCTTTAATGGTTTAGAAGTTATGCCATGGACAAACTTGGGTATTAAAAATAAACAAGGGGCCATAACTCTGTATGAAGTGGGGCATAAACCTTATTTTAGTGCAAGAGATTCCCCCTTCCCAAGATACATAAACATGGTAAGTTTGGTCATCGTAGGTGAAATAACATGAAACTTATGCTTGGACAAACTTCGGTATTAAAATTAAACAAAGGGCCATAACTCTGTATTTTGTGAAGCACGAAATCTAATTTCATTGTACTGCACACCTTCAGTGGGTGATGCAGATACAATTCTAGTTTGATCAAGATATCTTTGACAGTTAAAATTGTACGAGCCTGACACTAATTTACGGAAATGTTGTACTTAATTTGACCTTTGACCTTGAGGTGAAAGTCATAGTGACCTATGTATACCCAAAGTTCCATCAAGATATCTTTAACGGTTTAAAAGTTATGGCCCGGACATGTTGCGATTAGAAGAACCAGAAGAAGAAGCAGTACTAATACAATATGCCTCCATTCATTCGAAGAGGAGACATAATAAATAGGGTCTAGATCTAATGCTTACCATGCTGGCATCCATCTATGAAGAAGTCACTTACCTATCAAAATCAGAAGCTTCAGTCTGATATTTATATTGTGCTTGCACTTTGATGAGAACCATAATTAAATATCAATCCATGAATGTGTAAGAATAATTTTGTTTTATGCTTACAGATAAATGGAGTCCAGCGTTGCAAATCCGAACTGTGTTGCTATCTATCCAAGCTCTGCTAAGTGCTCCCAATCCAGATGATCCTCTAGCGAATGAAGTAGCTGATGCATGGAAAAGTGACGAATCACAAGCTATAGAAACAGGTATAACTCTAGCTTTGTCAATCTCCAGGTGTATCCATGTCTAGAAATCCACGTCCAGCTGTTCCCCTGTCCCCACCACCTGTTTCTACCTCAGGAGTGTGGTCCGATAGAGAAACTAGGTCATCACTTGGAAATCCACCTCCTATATCTTTTTAGGTCACCTGAGCTTTGCTCAAGTGACCTATTCCAATCGCTTTTCGTCCGTCGTGCGTCGTGCGTAAACTTTTACATTTTCAACTTCTTCTCAAGAACCAGTGGATGGATTTTTTTCAAACTTGGTCAGAATCATCCTTGGTAGATGAGGCTTCAAAATTGTAAAATTGGGATTCCTACCCCAACCCCTGGGGCAAGGGCGGGGCCCCAAAGGGAAAATTATCCAATATTTCAAAAATCTTCTTCTCCAGACTCAGAGGTACTACAGTGATTTTCTCTACGTGGAAAGAAAGATCATCAGGGGCTTTACTTAAATTGTAAATTTCAGGACCCCCGAGCTATCCGTTCTCCCTTGGGGAGGGGGTAAAGTTTACTATAGTTTATATAGGGAAATAACACTTTTGGGTATATTTTGACAACTTTCTGTAGGAAATTATTTTTACTTGGTGAGAATTATCCTTGGAGGTAGATGGTTTCAAATTGTAAAATTGAGATTCCTACCCCGACCCCTGGGGCCAGGGCGGGGCCCCAAAGGGAAAATTAATCAATATTTCAAAAATCTTCTTCTCCAGACTCAGAGGTACTACAGTGATTTTCTCTACGTGGAAAGAAAGATCATCAGGGGCTTTACTTAAATTGTAAATTTCAGGACCCCCGAGCTATCCGTTCTCCCTTGGGGAGGGGGTAAAGTTTACTATAGTTTATATAGGGAAATAACACTTTTGGGTATATTTTGACAACTTTCTGTAGGAAATTATTTTTACTTGGTGAGAATTATCCTTGGAGGTAGATGGTTTCAAATTGTAAAATTGAGATTCCTACCCCGACCCCTGGGGCCAGGGCGGGGCCCCAAAGGGAAAATTAATCAATATTTCAAAAATCTTCTTCTCCAGACTCAGAGGTACTACAGTGATTTTCTCTACGTGGAAAGAAAGATCATCAGGGGCTTTACTTAAATTGTAAATTTCAGGACCCCCGAGCTATCCGTTCTCCCTTGGGGAGGGGGTAAAGTTTACTATAGTTTATATAGGGAAATAACACTTTTGGGTATATTTTGACAACTTTCTGTAGGAAATTATTTTTACTTGGTGAGAATTATCCTTGGAGGTAGATGGTTTCAAATTGTAAAATTGAGATTCCTACCCCGACCCCTGGGGCCAGGGCGGGGCCCCAAAGGGAAAATTAATCAATATTTCAAAAATCTTCTTCTCCAGACTCAGAGGTACTACAGTGATTTTCTTTACGTGGAAAGAAAGATCATCAGGGGCTTTATTTAAATTGAAAATATCAGGACCCCGAGCTATCCGTTCTCCCTTGGGGAGGGGTTAACGTTTAATATAGTTTATATAGGGAAATAACACTTTTCGGTATATATTTTATCCATTTTCAGCAGAAAATTGCTCAAACTTAGTCAGAATCATCTTGGGTAAATGAGAGTTTTACTTTGTAAAATTAGGATTCCTGCCCCATCCCCAGGGGCTAGGGCGGGGCCCCAAAGGGAACATTTACCAATATTTTCAAATTCTTATCCATTGATGACATGACAAGTATTGTATTTCACTTAGTTTACATGCTGATTTCCACATCACATCTTAACAATAAAATAAAGCTACCAGTATCTATGATATAACTCAGGTGACCGCTAAGGCCCTTGGGCCTCTTGTTATACAATTGCTATGCATGAAGAGGCCAAGACATTCATGCTATCGGGGGGTCCAAACCCATCCGCAGAGAACTCATTCCCTGGGTCATAACTTGGAAACAGATGAGATCCCCACCCTATCACTATACCGATATATATGAAATTCTAGGCATGAAGAGACATATACACTCATGCTTTAAGGATTGGCCCCAGTTCCCTGGGTCATTACATGGAAACAATTGATATTCCCACCACATACGATATAAACCATATATAAAGTTGCTGGACATGAAGTAATTTGGTATGCATCTTTCCTCTTTCGTAATGATATTCAACAGGTTTTGAATTGAAAATGAAATTTAACTCATTCATCCCTGAAGACATATTTGAACTCGCCCAATTCAAAGGTTGGAATAGTTCATTATGAAACTTCAGGGGTGAATGAGTTAAGGTGAACTACTAAGGCTCCCATGCCTCTTGTTAAAGTATTGATTGAATATAATATTTCATGATTTTTTTTTGCTGGCGGATCTTTACTTAATGCGTTCATTTATATTATTGACAGATTATTAATTGAATAATCAGTTAATCATACAAATTTTCGTTTGATCACAAAGCACCTTATTGACTGATTGAAATGCATATATATATATATTGTTAAAGAATTCTAAATATTCCTTTTCAGCTAAAGCATGGACACAAAAACATGCTATCTGATTGTTAGGAATGACTGATTGATGCTTGATGTGTTATTGTATGGTGACGAGGAGGAGGAACGGCCTCCGTTTGAGGCCTCATATCGCCCGGGCCAGTTACCTTTGGATTAAAGTGGCCACACTCAACATGCCATTTATTAAGGAAGCAGTGATAACTGACCATATCATTTGTACACAAGGACTGCTGGACACAATGTTAACTAGTTAAACTCACTTTACTGGAGGTAACAGGTTTTAAACACCATATTAACACAAGTACAATCAGGTAGTGTTGCTGATTATTTTGTTTCTTTGGGTAGGGTTTGGAGGGTATGTTAAATGCTTCCCTATATGTACAGTACACAGGCATTGTTAGGATTTAAATCTGTGTGCACTTGATTCTAGGGAGGATCAGTATATGAAAACACTTAATCTTTATTGATGAGTGTTCTTTAAACTAAAAATGAAAAAAAGAAAAGAAATGTGAGTGTGTCTGCTATGTATATGTGTGAAAAAATAGTCACAAAAAATATAACCAAAGGAAGAAGTTATAGCAGAATTACAGAAACATCACTTAAGTTAATGTGTATTTTAGAAATATGTAGATACATGTTTCATAAGTCACGGTACCAGGCTTTTCTTTCTGTTTCCGTGTATGAGAGTCTCTAGAGACAAACGGTCACTTAAATTAAAATTGTACCATTACATCACAGTATCAACATATTGCATTATTTGTAGGGGATGCAATACATTGATACTAATTGGAAATATCGATACAAGTAATTTACGATACTAATGAAAATTCTGGATATTATCATCCATTCCATCTTTAAAAATAATTCTTGATGGTCAGTGCTTTGGGAATGTTTGTTGCCGTCCTTATCAAGATAAATGAAATACACAACATATGAAAACAAGAACACCAAACAAGGATGGCATTACCTATCATCAGTATGTATAGAGGATACCCTATCATCAGTATGTATAGGGGATTACCTATCATCAGTATGTATAGAGGATACCCTATCATCAGTATGTATAGGGGATTACCTATCATCAGTATGTATAGAGGATTACCTATCATCAGTATGTATTGGGGATTACCTATCGTCAGTATGTATAGGGGATTACCTATGTATAGAGGATTACCTATCATCAGTATGTATTGGGGGTTACCTATCATCAGTATGTATAGGGGATTACCTATCATCAGTATGTATAGGGGATTACCTATCATCAGTATGTATAGAGGATTACCTATCATCAGTATGTATAGAGGATTACCTATCATCAGTATGTATAGAGGATTACCTATCATCAGTATGTATAGAGGATTACCTATCATCAGTATGTATAGAGGATTACCTATCATCAGTATGTATAGAGGATTACCTATCATCAGTATGTATAGAGGATTACCTATCATCAGTATGTATAGAGGATTACCTATCATCAGTATGTATAGAGGATTACCTATCATCAGTATGTATAGAGGATTACCTATCATCAGTATGTATAGAGGATTACCTATCATCAGTATGTATAGAGGATTACCTATCATCAGTATGTATAGAGGATTACCTATCATCAGTATGTATAGAGGATTACCTATCATCAGTATGTATAGAGGATTACCTATCATCAGTATGTATAGAGGATTACCTATCATCAGTATGTATAGAGGATTACCTATCATCAGTATGTATAGAGGATTACCTATCATCAGTATGTATAGAGGATTACCTATCATCAGTATGTATAGAGGATTACCTATCATCAGTATGTATAGAGGATTACCTATCATCAGTATGTATAGAGGATTACCTATCATCAGTATGTATAGAGGATTACCTATCATCAGTATGTATAGAGGATTACCTATCATCAGTATGTATAGAGGATTACCTATCATCAGTATGTATAGAGGATTACCTATCATCAGTATGTATAGAGGATTACCTATCATCAGTATGTATAGAGGATTACCTATCATCAGTATGTATAGAGGATTACCTATCATCAGTATGTATAGAGGATTACCTATCATCAGTATGTATAGAGGATTACCTATCATCAGTATGTATAGAGGATTACCTATCATCAGTATGTATAGAGGATTACCTATCATCAGTATGTATAGAGGATTACCTATCATCAGTATGTATAGAGGATTACCTATCATCAGTATGTATAGAGGATTACCTATCATCAGTATGTATAGAGGATTACCTATCATCAGTATGTATAGAGGATTACCTATCATCAGTATGTATAGAGGATTACCTATCATCAGTATGTATAGAGGATTACCTATCATCAGTATGTATAGAGGATTACCTATCATCAGTATGTATAGAGGATTACCTATCATCAGTATGTATAGAGGATTACCTATCATCAGTATGTATAGAGGATTACCTATCATCAGTATGTATAGAGGATTACCTATCATCAGTATGTATAGAGGATTACCTATCATCAGTATGTATAGAGGATTACCTATCATCAGTATGTATAGAGGATTACCTATCATCAGTATGTATAGAGGATTACCTATCATCAGTATGTATAGAGGATTACCTATCATCAGTATGTATAGAGGATTACCTATCATCAGTATGTATAGAGGATTACCTATCATCAGTATGTATAGAGGATTACCTATCATCAGTATGTATAGAGGATTACCTATCATCAGTATGTATAGAGGATTACCTATCATCAGTATGTATAGAGGATTACCTATCATCAGTATGTATAGAGGATTACCTATCATCAGTATGTATAGAGGATTACCTATCATCAGTATGTATAGAGGATTACCTATCATCAGTATGTATAGAGGATTACCTATCATCAGTATGTATAGAGGATTACCTATCATCAGTATGTATAGAGGATTACCTATCATCAGTATGTATAGAGGATTACCTATCATCAGTATGTATAGAGGATTACCTATCATCAGTATGTATAGAGGATTACCTATCATCAGTATGTATAGAGGATTACCTATCATCAGTATGTATAGAGGATTACCTATCATCAGTATGTATAGAGGATTACCTATCATCAGTATGTATAGAGGATTACCTATCATCAGTATGTATAGAGGATTACCTATCATCAGTATGTATAGAGGATTACCTATCATCAGTATGTATAGAGGATTACCTATCATCAGTATGTATAGAGGATTACCTATCATCAGTATGTATAGAGGATTACCTATCATCAGTATGTATAGAGGATTACCTATCATCAGTATGTATAGGGGATTACCTATCATCAGTATGTATAGAGGATTACCTATCATCAGTATGTATAGAGGATTACCTATCATCAGTATGTATAGAGGATTACCTATCATCAGTATGTATAGAGGATTACCTATCATCAGTATGTATAGAGGATTACCTATCATCAGTATGTATAGAGGATTACCTATCATCAGTATGTATAGAGGATTACCTATCATCAGTATGTATAGAGGATTACCTATCATCAGTATGTATAGAGGATTACCTATCATCAGTATGTATAGAGGATTACCTATCATCAGTATGTATAGAGGATTACCTATCATCAGTATGTATAGAGGATTACCTATCATCAGTATGTATAGAGGATTACCTATCATCAGTATGTATAGAGGATTACCTATCATCAGTATGTATAGAGGATTACCTATCATCAGTATGTATAGAGGATTACCTATCATCAGTATGTATAGAGGATTACCTATCATCAGTATGTATAGAGGATTACCTATCATCAGTATGTATAGAGGATTACCTATCATCAGTATGTATAGAGGATTACCTATCATCAGTATGTATAGAGGATTACCTATCATCAGTATGTATAGAGGATTACCTATCATCAGTATGTATAGAGGATTACCTATCATCAGTATGTATAGAGGATTACCTATCATCAGTATGTATAGAGGATTACCTATCATCAGTATGTATAGAGGATTACCTATCATCAGTATGTATAGAGGATTACCTATCATCAGTATGTATAGAGGATTACCTATCATCAGTATGTATAGAGGATTACCTATCATCAGTATGTATAGAGGATTACCTATCATCAGTATGTATAGAGGATTACCTATCATCAGTATGTATAGAGGATTACCTATCATCAGTATGTATAGAGGATTACCTATCATCAGTATGTATAGAGGATTACCTATCATCAGTATGTATAGAGGATTACCTATCATCAGTATGTATAGAGGATTACCTATCATCAGTATGTATAGAGGATTACCTATCATCAGTATGTATAGAGGATTACCTATCATCAGTATGTATAGAGGATTACCTATCATCAGTATGTATAGAGGATTACCTATCATCAGTATGTATAGAGGATTACCTATCATCAGTATGTATAGAGGATTACCTATCATCAGTATGTATAGAGGATTACCTATCATCAGTATGTATAGAGGATTACCTATCATCAGTATGTATAGAGGATTACCTATCATCAGTATGTATAGGGGATTACCTATCATCATTATGTATAGAGGATTACCTATCATCAGTATGTATAGAGTATTACCTATCATCAGTATGTATAGAAGAATCCAAAGACAGCACACTGTTACATTATTGCAATTCTTGTTTTGAGTGTCAGTGTGCAGCCCTAATTCTCCAATCTCAATAGTAATACATTATAATGCTGCCCAATGTCCATATTGTAATATCAATTTATAATGTGTATGTACAGATCATTTAACTTTTAAGAATGAATCTTCACCTGTAAGACTTAAAAACGTTTTAAATGTGTATGTTATGTAGGCTCTTGACATGAGAATAGTTAGTCTCGACACAGTATGTACTAGATTTACGAGATATTGTACGTACCATAGAGAAATGTATTTCGGATTGAAGTGGATGAGGATTGGTTTGCTTAATCTCACTGTGTAAATTTTCATTGAGAAAAACAGCGAACATGTAAAATATCTGTTTATCAATCAACCCCTTCTGTCGCTACTTTGTCTGCACATAAGAGTGCTCGTTACTTATATACTACTGTACAATGTGATTGTAGGACTTGTTGGAATTAAGACATAAAAAAGGCTTGTTAGTTATACAATATGGAAATTGAGCTTGTTAGAATGAACTCCTAGATAGTGTTGTATGGAATGCCGTAATTTTCTGATATGTTCAGTAACATTTGCAAATTGTGCTGAAATACTGGGCATCCTGTATCTTTAAAATAGGATTCTTCTTCATTCCAGAAAATGCTAATTTTGTTTTCAGGTTTATAATTAACAATAAATGATAACTTAATAGTGTGTCATTATAATAAATTTTGGAAACTTTATACAGCAGATTGCTTCTCGATATTCATCTTGCTGTTAAGAATTCCACTGATCACTTTTAAAGCCTCTAGCTTATGTTGCTGAACTAACACAAAATGCTCTGCTAAAGGAGAGCTATTCTCACAAACATATGCACATGTTATATAGATTATATTTTAAGTTTTATGAAAGAAGAAGAAATTATGATTTACAGATATTACATGTTTAGTTAATGGTATCTGATAAAATATATTCCGAAAATACGCAAATATGATTTTGAATACTGTTATCAGTTATATTATAATAACTATCAAAAATCAATTTTTACATGCAGTAAAATTGTGAACAGTGTCATTTATGGTGGCTTCACTAAAATAGGTGGTCAGCAACTAGCTTTTTTATTGTCTGTTGACCACTGGACAGCAGGCGGTCAGTGGCTGTTGAACCACCAGAACAAGCCATCAGTGGCTGACTTGTCTAATGACCATTGGATTAGAGTTAACAGCGACTGAATTCAGTCAATCTACATATAGTCTACATGTATTCTTGGGCAAATCGTATCCCTAAGTACTATAAAATTCAAACCAAATTTACATTCGTTTAAGTGTAAAACAGATTAAAAATGAGGGTGTTTGTCTTCCACAGTAAGTCGACTTGACTAGGTAAAACAGGCCTTTGTATGGAGCTCTGGTGTGACCTGTTGTAAAGGTTGTTGGAATGGAGCACAGCTCCCATGGGGAAGTTGGGGTAAATGTCTTGTGTGATGGAACAAATACCAAGATATATGACAATGTAGTTGGAGATTCATTATATAATTTCGTGTTTGAGATAAATGTTGATGAAACATGTTTTGTGCATATCTTTGTTTCCTAAGTTTGATATTTTGCGATCCACAAACATTTCTGTTACTGATTTATGTGATGTTCCTAATTATCGGTCATTGTATGCCCCGTCTGAATTCAACATTTTTCGCACTATCATTCTCATGTCAGGTTTTGTTGTCAAAGGGATTAACATTTAGTATTTATTCTGTCAATCTTCTCTGGGGCAATGACATTTGACTAATTCATGCATATGTGAGAAACTAAATTAAACATTGAAAACTAAGTTTTGTCTGTGTTTTGTATTATCTAAACATTGCAATGTTCCGGATGGCCTCAGTGACGCAAGACAGAAGGCATGTAAATATTGCATAATTTATAGCAAAGTGAAACCTTTTTTTTAGAGCTTATGTCATGGTGCGGCGGCTGCTGTCTTCTGTCTGTCCGTCCGCCAACAATTTCTTTCAACAACTTCTTCTGAAGAATGAACAGGACTAGTCATGATATTCGGCTGAATTGCCTTGACATACTTACAAGGTCACAAATATGTCAAACCCTTCAAACGACTTCTCCTGAAGAACTAATAGATATAGAACAAGAGGCCCAATGGGCCTGCATCGCTCGCCTGGTATAAAACTCACACTTGTAACCTGAAAAGTGATCTAAAATAAAGCTACAGGCAAAATATCAGTATTTATGATTAAAATTCGTCCAAAAGACCCTGTTAATTTTTTTTAAAACATTTCACCCCTGTGATTGAAAGTCGAACAAAGTTATTATGTTGAACACATTGTATAGCCTTTCATCTCAGGATGCAACTTGCAAAGTATAAACATCCTGGGACCCATGGTTATTCATAAGAGGTTGTTTAAAGATTTTAAACAAATTTGACCCCTGTGACCTTGAATATAAGTCAAAGTCATTCACTTTAACAAACATAGTAGTCCTTGATCCCAGCATATGCTACTAACTAAATATCAACATCCTGAGCCTTTTGGTTATTCAGCACAAGTTGTTGAAATATTTTAAACATATTTGCTCCTTGTGACCTTGAATATGATTCAAGGTCATACATTTAAACAAACTTGGTAGCCCTTGATCCTAGTATGCTACTGACTAAATATCATCACCCAGGGCATTTTGGTTATTCGGAAGTTGTTTAAAGTTTTCAACATATTTGACCCCTGTGACCTTGAATATGGGTGAAGGTCATTTATTTGAACAAACTTTGTAGCCATTCATCTCTGCTAGCTACTGGCCAAATATCATCACCCTGGGCATTTTGGTTATTCGGAAGAAGTTGTTTTAAGTTTTTAACATATATGACCCCTGTGACCTTGAATATGGGTGAAGGTCATTTATTTAAACAAACTTTGTAGCCCTTCATCTCGGCTAGCTACTGGCCAATTATCATCACCCTGGGCATTTTGGTTATTCAGGAGAAGTTGTTTTAAGTTTTTAACATATTTGACCCCTGTTACCTTGAATATTGGTGAAGGTCATTCATTTGAACAAAATTTGTAGCCCTTCATCTCAGCATAATACTGGCCCGGTATCATCACCCTGGACATTTTGGTTATTGAGAAGAAGTTATTTAAAGGTTTTTTAAGACAATTGACCCCTGTGACCTTGAATATGGGTGAAGGTCATTCATTTGAACAAAATTTGTAGCCCTTCATCTCAGCATAATACTGGCCCGATATCATCACCCTGGACATTTTGGTTATTGAGAAGAAGTTATTTAAAGGTTTTTTAAGACAATTGACCCCTGTGACCTTGAATATGGGTGAAGATCATTCATTTGAACAAACTTGGTAGCCCTTCACCCTAGCATGCTCCTGACCAAATATCATCTTCCTGGGCAGTTTGGTTATTTAGAAGAAGGTGATTTAAGTTGTTAACATATTTGACCCCTGTGACCTTCAAAATAGATGAAGGTCATTTATTTGAACAAACTTGGTAGCCCTTCATCCCAGTTTGCTTCTGGCCAAATATCATCACCCTAGGCCTTTCGGTTATTAAGAAGAAGTCGTTTAAAGTAAAATATTGACGCCGGACAGACGCCGGACGAACGCCGGATGCCGCACGCCGCACCACGGCATAAGCTCACTTGGCACTTCGTGCTAGGTGAGCTCAAAATTAATATTTGGCTGGTAACTTCTTCAGATTAAGCACAACAAAGTTTGCGAATGAAAATGACCTTGACCTACTTTTGGGGTCAAATATGTCAAAAACATCAAACGATTTTCCGAAGAAAAATCGAAAAACATTGAATCTTAATATTTGGCTGTGGGCTTCTCCGGATAGAGCTCACCAAAGTTTGCAAATGAAAATGACCTCAACCTTCTTTAAAGGTCACATATCTAGAGGTCAAAAACATTTTCAAACAATTTGTTCTGGAGAACCAAAAGACATGGACTCGTAAGATTTGGCTGGTAGCTTCATGGGATAGAGCCAACAAAGTTTGAGAAGGAAAATTATCTTGAATTAGAATTGTTTAATGACAGACGGGACTGACCACGGATGCAGGGTAATTTGAAAGATGATGGTGGGCTCAAAATATAGAAATGAATTGGTATTGACCAATCATAAGTGTACAAACACTTGATTTGAATCCCCAATGGCGAGAAAAGATAGGACGGTCAGCTGATATACAGGACATTTGCCAGAACATCCTAGGGCTATGGTCATTATGGTTACCAGATAATAACGGTGGTGACATTATAGTAGACACCGTAGTTCTATGTAGTCACAAACAACACAACATATGTTCTTCATCCTGGTCATTTTATTTTTCACAAAAATACGTTTTCCAAATCTTGATAATTTTTTTTCTATGTAATTAAATTATTGCATGATTTTCCTGAATGTCCTCTTTGTGAATAAAACACACAAATGCACCAAAGCTCACAATATAATTATAACGAACCATGAAGAAATAAAAGAAAACATAACTGGCACTGTTTGATGTTAATTTGATGAACCTTTTTAAGTTTATTGGTGGACCTTTACATGTATATAAATTTGGTTGAATGTTTTATATGTATCGATCGTACAGGTACATGTATCTTTCACACAATTGAGATAATTTGGATACTTAAGGAGGAATTATTAGGGAACAAAATGACCAAGACAAACTGACCGAAACTGAAATAATTTCCTTTAATTTCTTTAATTAATCATCTGAAATAAGTGATCAGATCAAGCCAATTTGTGGAATTTATCTCCCCGCCTTCAGAACAATGTTGATCCATTGTTGAGATTTGATGTGAGACTTGCTAATATTTGTACGTACATACCATAAAGGATCTGTAAACACAATTTTGTGAAATTAGGGCAGTTATTGCACGAAAACCAATTGTCCAATAAGAATGAAGGAACCTCATTAATTATGCATAAATATTCACACATTGCATTGGCTACTGAATTTAGTGTGCGACTTGCCGTTATGTACGAGACATTTTTAGGGCAGTTATTGAGTGGAAACCAATACAGCCTCATTGAATATGTGTAAATATCACTGGCGATTGAAAGTAGCCTGTGATCAAGATAATAGAGACACATAAATGCCTTTGTGCATGTATATGCAAACTCAATGCAGTTCAAATTGGACCTTTTTAAAGGTAGTTACTGTACTGAAACGAAATCTGTTCATAGATGGACAGATGGAGGGACAAACCCAAATCACTATCCACTGTTTTCTCGAAAAGCGGGGAATAAATTGTCATTTAATGATTTGTACCATATAATAGTATTGCCCATGTAAATCATCGTAATGTTTTTATCTCTTTGTTCTACACAAATTGCAATTAATTTTGAAAACAAATTTTTGACAAACACAAGAAAAAAATTCTTTCTTTCAGCAAAACAGCTGTTTTGACTAACTGACAATCATTAATTAAGCGACAGTAACAGAACAAAGAAACAGTTATTTGGTGACAATTTTTACATCATAAATTTGTGTTATTTATATGAATTAAGTCAGATAATGGTTATAACTCCTCAACAGTCAAGTGATGCTATACTACTGTTGCCAGTAGTCCTAGTGTTGGCAGTGATCTAGGTGATTAGACGCGACTTGTATGATGTATGAAGTATTACAATCATCTCATTTCTACTGTTAGGGTTCTTTCCTTTATCAACACAGTGGTCAGCTTCTCACCTGATCAGGGAAAGCAGGTACAGTTGATGTTGAAGTGCTGTAATTTGAGGGGGAAATACTACCTTACTAGCAAGCTAGCCTTTCCAGTGATGCAGTATAACCCCGGGACCCGCTCACTAGTTCAGCAATGTCGAGTGTAGTCAGTAGTTGGATGGGTGACTGCCAGCACATTACATTTACACAATCATCTCCAAAAACTAAATATACAGGTAACCAATCACTTGTTAACAAACCCATTGTGTCGATTGTAAATCATTAGTAATCATATCATTATGTATGTTGATTAAGGCAACGAAAGAAACATTTAACCTAGTCTTTGTGGCAAGAAGAACTTTATACAATATGATAAGCAACAGTAAATAAGTACTTCCTAAAAAATTACAGAGGTATACAAATATTGTGAATTGTGTAATATGAAAGAGGATACCATCCCCATAAACAGATTTATAGTCCTGAATAACAAGTTCCGTTTAAAATATTGACTACAATTGAAACACTAATAAACTACATCTACATCCGGGTAACAAGTAACGTCCCTAACACATATATAACACAAAAACAGCTATACAACAACAGGCTTACAAGATATCCGACTTACTGTGTCAGTGTGCTATACCAAGGTATAACCATAATACATCTAACTTGTATCAGTGTGTCGTAAAGTTATTACCTGGGTATCACAGCACAGGTTTATTACAAGACCAGATACATCTGCATAGTCTCAGAATCAACAACATTCCATGCTCATTGGGGAAGTGTCACACAATCTAAACAAGATATATAAATATATAACTTGTGACTAAAATTATTACACCAGGTAATCTGCTTCACTGGTTTGGAAAAAAATCACCCTTTTCTAAATTTGAATAATTGGTTATAATTTTAATATGATTATGCGGGATTAAATTAGAAAAGCATAATACAGCTTGTAAAATCTTATTGGTTTGTCAGCAGATAAAATAATACAACTAAGAATAATTAAAGTAATATGCAAAATAAAAATAAAATTTGAAGCTTTGCCATATGCATGAACAGATGGAAGGGTATTTTGTCTCATTGAACCCATGGAGCCTTTTAAACATGCTAAGGCTAAGTCATGGATAGGCTTGTCTGCTAAAGGCGTCCCTTAACACTAAGTGACTGTAGTTTAAGCAAAGCTCTAGATCTATATTCTCTTGAGTAATGAAACAATGTAAAGCAGACCATCCATTAAAAAGGATCAAAGTTAAATCATTCATCACTGAAAACTATACATACAAAATTAATAAACAACTTTCATTAGAAATAGAAATCTGAAATATCACATGTAAAATAACACCTAGTAAAATAATGTTATCAATAATTGTAGATATCTAAAAATAGACCTATCACAAGTTGTATTAATTTTATGACAGACAAATATCCTCTTCATTTTGGGAAAAAGTCAAATATGGCCAAGACCTACTTTTCATCACTTATATTCTGCCAGATATTTATTTTTTCATTAATTTGCGAGATGATTATGAATTCTACGATATCACAGATATTAATTTGTGAGGAGAGACTATTGTTATTTCCAGGATATCGCATATTATTTTTGTCAGAAAAGATGACAGAGAAAATCAAGAATATTGGGGATATTTGTTTGTGAGGAGAGACAATTGTGAATTAAAGGTTATCGCAGATACTTTTTTGTGAGGAGGGACAATAGAAAATTCAAGGACATCACCGATATTATTTGTGAGGAGAGAGGATCCTAAATTGAAGGATATCATGAATATTTTGATACACTGAAACAAGAAACAAAAAGCTGTTTAAACCCTTATGAATATGTTGCTGGAAAAAACGACAATGAAAATGAGTTAACAGGAAAATTCAGCGATTCACATTAATACCTTGTGTTCCGATGAGCACCAATAACTGGATTGATAGAAAGTATGTAATTGAGGTGATGTCCGAGGTAGGCCAGCTAATCAGCAGTGATCAACCATCAAGTTATTCAAAAAATAAATTATGATCTGGTACTTAGCTAAAGTTTGCTTTCCTACTTCATTTTTAACTGATTTGATACCGTAACATAGTAATTTAAAGTAAACCACCATTTATTTCATTACAAGCAAACAAAGTCCGAAGGAAAGAGAAATGAAGACACCTTGTACCCCAAACTTTGTACGAAGGTTTATGCGCAGGCCAGAGACACTTGTAGGGAGGCGTAGGTACAGTTGGACCTGTGGCAGATTTTCTCGCGGGCAGACAACGCTTCAAACTTGAGGGGCTTGTGACAGAACTCGCATTCATCTGGACATGCTTGAGTGAAGAGTTCAAGGCCATTATCCTCCCAAACTTTGATGAGAGCTTCAACCAGGTTGTCAAGCATTTCCTGCGTATGGTGTGGAGTTGGGGCGATGCGGAGTCGCTCCATGCCCCGCTCCACCGTGGGGAAGTTGATGGCCTGGACGTAGATGTTGTGTATATTTAGGAGATCGTTGGACAGCTTGGTACATAAGGCAGCATCGCCTACCTGTAAGGTATACCAAATATTTGTTATCATCTGATGCAAAAATATGGAAGTAAAAAAGTATGGCCTCCATTTTCCCAATAAATGTATGAAAGATAACAATATATAAATTCTACAATCCCAGATACTGATTTTAAAACACCTTATGTATATATCTTATCTCTGAGTAATAAGTGTAACTGATTTAGAACTAGCTGAATAGCTGTGTCATTCCAAACTACTGACCTCCATTTAGCATATATTTAGGATCTTATATGTATGAGTTTCCATTTCATACGAGATTTATGAAACAAGTCTAAGAATTTTTCAATTAAGCGAGCCTCTGGCATATGAAATGAAAACAAGTGTAAGATCCTTTTTATCACATAATCAAGATTTGAGGCATTTATTCGTGTTAAACCACAATTTCCATGCAACCTTGAAACGTAAAAAGACTCATTTTGACTCCAGTGCGTAAGTCTGTGACGTCATGTACTTGTCCTAGGCACGACATCACAATTGAAACAATTGAAGTTTACAACTAATCACAGACCTGATAGGTCATATTACATGGGTTAATATGCAAACAAATATGACATGGGTATATTCACTGGATAACACAGTACAGTATGTTTTTTTGTTTTTTTTAAAAAAAATAATCTGAACAGCAAAGTTTCAATAGTCAAGCACTTTGATTTATAGACAAGAACAAAGAAGGTGATAGTAAGTTGCTGTCAGTAAGATGTTACATACATGGACAGGTATGATGTGACTCGGGCAGTGTAGAGCGGGAATGCCCTTTTCCTTCAGCTTTTCTCGTAGATATTGCACTTTTTGTTGATGGACCTGTCGTAATTGTCTCCCCTCATCACTGCGGAGAATCTGAAGGAATGAAATAATGGAGTTTCAGCAAATAGGACACTAGTTTCTATAAAAAACATAAGAACAACTAATTTTCCTGGCTGGTATACCACACTAGATTAACTGTTTTTTCAATAACTAAACTGTAGATTACTTATGTTTCACATTATACATTTACACAACCAATCTACCTCACTGTACTTAATTGGGAGGACAATTTACATACATGTACAGCAGGAAAAATCACTTTAATTTCATGAAGAAAGCTGACATTCTCATATTAAAGCATATTTACTTAAAACTAAAAAATAATACCATAATCTGTTGTTTTGAAATGCAACAGATCACAAATCAAAGGAGTTCTATGGATTAAAGAAGTTCATAGGTCAATCTGTTTAAATGGCTTCTACAGCAGTATCCTCTGTAGAGGCTGTATTCTTCCACCCTTCACAGGCGTGTCTACCGTTTCAGCCGGCAAAGATCAGCTTGTCACCCCCTAGGGGGAGGTAGCCTCGTGCCGATCAGCACGTTTTCAATTGTGACGTCATAAAGTGTGTCACCAGTAATTGTGATGTCATCAAAAGTGAATGACGATATGCATACCCCACATGTATTTTTGTTTACAAACATTGCAGACTACTGTCGGTGGAGTTGTGACTAAAATAATAGAATTGGAGAAAAATAATCATCCCCTACGTTGAGTGTGCAACAGAGAAATCTCCAACTGGAGGGGAGGGGTTGGAGATTTCTCTGTCACACCCTCAGGGTAGGGAAGGATTCTATTAATCTATCCCTTAATGATATGTCTATAATGTATCTTTGAAGTGCAGTCAGACATCAACTCTGAGGGACTACTCTATGGTTTAACAATAGCTTTACCTTGACAGAGGCTAGGCACCCGGCTAGCGTGGTGGGCGGCAGTGAAGTGGTGAAGATGAAGCCTGAAGCGTAGCTCCGTATCATGTCTATAGTATTGGCAGACGCAGCAATGTATCCCCCAACATTTCCAAAGGCTTTCCCTGAGTGGAGAAAAACAATACATCAAAGACTGATCTACAAGTCAATCAATTAACATTTTAAAAGGGTTTCCATGTAAGTAAAAAACAGTAAATCATTTGTCACATACCAGTATTAGTTATTGATTTGGGCATGGTTAGAAAATTCAGTTTCTCATGAATAAGTACAATTTCACTATAAGTTAGAAACCATTATAGTCACTGTATTTCAAATTCTAAGAAAGTCATCACCATAATCATCATTAAAAAACAAAAAATACCATAAATAAGGAAGTGTGACTTCAATGAAGCAATTATAATATATCTTACCAATCTTATCATTCTGTGAATGTGTAACAGCCATATTGTTTCACACTAATTTGAAAGAATTTATAACACCTGACATAATAATCTTCCTTGGGACAACAAACTATTTTGTTTACAACAGTCATGATTCAAGATATTCTACAGACTCTATATTCTTTGTAAGAAAAACAATCCCATACCTAGTGTACTAGAGATTATATCTAGCTTGTCTATACAGTGAAACCAATCCCATACCTAGTGTACCAGAGATTACATCTAGCTTGTCTCTACAGTGAAACCAATCCCATACCTAGTGTACCATAGATTATATCTAGCTTGTCTATACAGTAAAACCAATCACATACCTAGTGTGCCATAGATTATATCTAGCTTGTCTATACAGTGAAACCAATCCCATACCTAGTGTACCATAGATTATATCTAGCTTGTCTCTACAGTAAAACCAATCCCATACCTAGTGTACCATAGATTATATCTAGCTTGTCCATACAGTAAAACCAATACCATACCTAGTGTACCAGAGATTATATCTAGCTTGTCTATATCTAGCTTGTCTATACAGTAAAACCAATCACATACCTAGTGTGCCATAGATTATATCTAGCTTGTCTATACAGTGAAACCAATACCATACCTAGTGTACCAGAGATTATATCTAGCTTGTCTATACAGTAAAACCAATCCCATACCTAGTGTACAAGAGATTATATCTAGCTTGTCTATACAGTAAAACCAGTCCCATACCTAGTGTACCATAGATTATATCTAGCTTGTCTCTACAGTGAAACCAATCCCATACCTAGTGTACCAGAGATTATATCTAGGTTGTCTATACAGTAAAACCAATCACATACCTAGTGTGCCATAGATTATATCTAGCTTGTCTATACAGTGAAACCAATACCATACCTAGTGTACCAGAGATTATATCTAGCTTGTCTATATCTAGCTTGTCTATACAGTAAAACCAATCCCATACCTAGTTTACCAGAGATTATATCTAGGTTGTCTATACAGTAAACCCAATCACATACCTAGTGTACCATAGATTATATCTAGCTTGACTATACAGTAAAACCAATCCCATACCTAGTGTACCAGAGATTATATCTAGGTTGTCTATACAGTAAAACCAATCACATACCTAGTGTACCATAGATTATATCTAGCTTGTCTATACAGTAAAAACAATCCCATACCTAGTGTACCATAGATTATATCTAGCTTGTCTATACAGTGAAACCAATCCCATACCTAGTGTACCATAGATTATATCTAGCTTGTCTATACAGTGAAACCAATACCATACCTAGTGTACCAGAGAGTATATCTAGCTTGTCTATATCTAGCTTGTTTATACAGTAAAAACAATCCCATACCTAGTGTACCATAGATTATATCTAGCTTGTCTATACAGTGAAACCAATACCATACCTAGTGTACCAGAGAGTATATCTAGCATGTCTCTACAGTGAAATTAATCCCATACCTAGTGTACCAGAGAGTATATCTAGCATGTCTCTACAGTGAAATTAATCCCATACCTAGTGTACCAGGGAGAATATCTAGCTTGTCTATATCTAGCTTGTTTATACAGTAAAACCAATCCCATACCTAGTGTACTAGAGATTATATCTAGCTTGTCTATATCTAGTTTGTCTATACAGTAAAACCAATCCCATACGTGGTGTACCAGAGATTATATCTAGCTTGTCTATATCTAGCCTGTCTATACAGTAAAACCAATCCCATACGCAGTGTACCAGAGATTATATCTAGCTTGTCTATACAGTAAAACCAATCCCATACCTAGTGTACCAGAGAGTATATCTAGCTTGTCTATATCTAGCTTGTTTATACAGTAAAACCAATCCCATACCTAGTTTACCATAGATTATATCTAGCTTGTCTATACAGTAAAACCAATCCCATACCTAGTGTACCAGATATTATATCTAGCTTGTCTATATCTAGCTTGTTTATACAGTAAAACCAATCCCATACCTAGTGTACTAGAGATTATATCTAGCTTGTCTATATCTAGCTTGTCTATACAGTAAAACCAGTCCCATACCTAGTGTACTAGAGATTATATCTAGCTTGTCCATACAGTAAAACCAATACCATACCTAGTGTACCAGAGATTATATCTAGCTTGTCTATACAGTAAAACCAGTCCCATACCTAGTGTACCAGAGATTATATCTAGCTTGTCTATACAGTAAAACCAATCCCATACCTAGTGTACCAGAGATTATATCTAGCTTGTCTATACAGTAAAACCAATCCCATACCTAGTGTACCAGAGATTATATCTAGCTTGTCTATACAGTAAAACCAATCCCATACCTAGTGTACCAGAGATTATATCTAGCTTGTCTATACAGTAAAACCAATCCCATACCTAGTGTACCAGAGATTATATCTAGCTTGTCTATACAGTAAAACCAATCCCATACCTAGTGTACCAGAGATTATATCTAGCTTGTCTATACAGTAAAACCAATCCCATACCTAGTGTACCAGAGATTATATCTAGCTTGTCTATACAGTAAAACCAATCCCATACCTAGTGTACCAGAGATTATATCTAGCTTGTCTATACAGTAAAACCAATCCCATACCTAGTGTACCAGAGATTATATCTAGCTTGTCTATACAGTAAAACCAATCCCATACCTAGTGTACCAGAGATTATATCTAGCTTGTCTATACAGTAAAACCAATCCCATACCTAGTGTACCAGAGATTATATCTAGCTTGTCTATACAGTAAAACCAATCCCATACCTAGTGTACCAGAGATTATATCTAGCTTGTCTATACAGTAAAACCAATCCCATACCTAGTGTACCAGAGATTATATCTAGCTTGTCTATACAGTAAAACCAATCCCATACCTAGTGTACCAGAGATTATATCTAGCTTGTCTATACAGTAAAACCAATCCCATACCTAGTGTACCAGAGATTATATCTAGCTTGTCTATACAGTAAAACCAATCCCATACCTAGTGTACCAGAGATTATATCTAGCTTGTCTATACAGTAAAACCAATCCCATACCTAGTGTACCAGAGATTATATCTAGCTTGTCTATACAGTAAAACCAATCCCATACCTAGTGTACCAGAGATTATATCTAGCTTGTCTATACAGTAAAACCAATCCCATACCTAGTGTACCAGAGATTATATCTAGCTTGTCTATACAGTAAAACCAATCCCATACCTAGTGTACCAGAGATTATATCTAGCTTGTCTATACAGTAAAACCAATCCCATACCTAGTGTACCAGAGATTATATCTAGCTTGTCTATACAGTAAAACCAATCCCATACCTAGTGTACCAGAGATTATATCTAGCTTGTCTATACAGTAAAACCAATCCCATACCTAGTGTACCAGAGATTATATCTAGCTTGTCTATACAGTAAAACCAATCCCATACCTAGTGTACCAGAGATTATATCTAGCTTGTCTATACAGTAAAACCAATCCCATACCTAGTGTACCAGAGATTATATCTAGCTTGTCTATACAGTAAAACCAATCCCATACCTAGTGTACCAGAGATTATATCTAGCTTGTCTATACAGTAAAACCAATCCCATACCTAGTGTACCAGAGATTATATCTAGCTTGTCTATACAGTAAAACCAATCCCATACCTAGTGTACCAGAGATTATATCTAGCTTGTCTATACAGTAAAACCAATCCCATACCTAGTGTACCAGAGATTATATCTAGCTTGTCTATACAGTAAAACCAATCCCATACCTAGTGTACCAGAGATTATATCTAGCTTGTCTATACAGTAAAACCAATCCCATACCTAGTGTACCAGAGATTATATCTAGCTTGTCTATACAGTAAAACCAATCCCATACCTAGTGTACCAGAGATTATATCTAGCTTGTCTATACAGTAAAACCAATCCCATACCTAGTGTACCAGAGATTATATCTAGCTTGTCTATACAGTAAAACCAATCCCATACCTAGTGTACCAGAGATTATATCTAGCTTGTCTATACAGTAAAACCAATCCCATACCTAGTGTACCAGAGATTATATCTAGCTTGTCTATACAGTAAAACCAATCCCATACCTAGTGTACCAGAGATTATATCTAGCTTGTCTATACAGTAAAACCAATCCCATACCTAGTGTACCAGAGATTATATCTAGCTTGTCTATACAGTAAAACCAATCCCATACCTAGTGTACCAGAGATTATATCTAGCTTGTCTATACAGTAAAACCAATCCCATACCTAGTGTACCAGAGATTATATCTAGCTTGTCTATACAGTAAAACCAATCCCATACCTAGTGTACCAGAGATTATATCTAGCTTGTCTATACAGTAAAACCAATCCCATACCTAGTGTACCAGAGATTATATCTAGCTTGTCTATACAGTAAAACCAATCCCATACCTAGTGTACCAGAGATTATATCTAGCTTGTCTATACAGTAAAACCAATCCCATACCTAGTGTACCAGAGATTATATCTAGCTTGTCTATACAGTAAAACCAATCCCATACCTAGTGTACCAGAGATTATATCTAGCTTGTCTATACAGTAAAACCAATCCCATACCTAGTGTACCAGAGATTATATCTAGCTTGTCTATACAGTAAAACCAATCCCATACCTAGTGTACCAGAGATTATATCTAGCTTGTCTATACAGTAAAACCAATCCCATACCTAGTGTACCAGAGATTATATCTAGCTTGTCTATACAGTAAAACCAATCCCATACCTAGTGTACCAGAGATTATATCTAGCTTGTCTATACAGTAAAACCAATCCCATACCTAGTGTACCAGAGATTATATCTAGCTTGTCTATACAGTAAAACCAATCCCATACCTAGTGTACCAGAGATTATATCTAGCTTGTCTATACAGTAAAACCAATCCCATACCTAGTGTACCAGAGATTATATCTAGCTTGTCTATACAGTAAAACCAATCCCATACCTAGTGTACCAGAGATTATATCTAGCTTGTCTATACAGTAAAACCAATCCCATACCTAGTGTACCAGAGATTATATCTAGCTTGTCTATACAGTAAAACCAATCCCATACCTAGTGTACCAGAGATTATATCTAGCTTGTCTATACAGTAAAACCAATCCCATACCTAGTGTACCAGAGATTATATCTAGCTTGTCTATACAGTAAAACCAATCCCATACCTAGTGTACCAGAGATTATATCTAGCTTGTCTATACAGTAAAACCAATCCCATACCTAGTGTACCAGAGATTATATCTAGCTTGTCTATACAGTAAAACCAATCCCATACCTAGTGTACCAGAGATTATATCTAGCTTGTCTATACAGTAAAACCAATCCCATACCTAGTGTACCAGAGATTATATCTAGCTTGTCTATACAGTAAAACCAATCCCATACCTAGTGTACCAGAGATTATATCTAGCTTGTCTATACAGTAAAACCAATCCCATACCTAGTGTACCAGAGATTATATCTAGCTTGTCTATACAGTAAAACCAATCCCATACCTAGTGTACCAGAGATTATATCTAGCTTGTCTATACAGTAAAACCAATCCCATACCTAGTGTACCAGAGATTATATCTAGCTTGTCTATACAGTAAAACCAATCCCATACCTAGTGTACCAGAGATTATATCTAGCTTGTCTATACAGTAAAACCAATCCCATACCTAGTGTACCAGAGATTATATCTAGCTTGTCTATACAGTAAAACCAATCCCATACCTAGTGTACCAGAGATTATATCTAGCTTGTCTATACAGTAAAACCAATCCCATACCTAGTGTACCAGAGATTATATCTAGCTTGTCTATACAGTAAAACCAATCCCATACCTAGTGTACCAGAGATTATATCTAGCTTGTCTATACAGTAAAACCAATCCCATACCTAGTGTACCAGAGATTATATCTAGCTTGTCTATACAGTAAAACCAATCCCATACCTAGTGTACCAGAGATTATATCTAGCTTGTCTATACAGTAAAACCAATCCCATACCTAGTGTACCAGAGATTATATCTAGCTTGTCTATACAGTAAAACCAATCCCATACCTAGTGTACCAGAGATTATATCTAGCTTGTCTATACAGTAAAACCAATCCCATACCTAGTGTACCAGAGATTATATCTAGCTTGTCTATACAGTAAAACCAATCCCATACCTAGTGTACCAGAGATTATATCTAGCTTGTCTATACAGTAAAACCAATCCCATACCTAGTGTACCAGAGATTATATCTAGCTTGTCTATACAGTAAAACCAATCCCATACCTAGTGTACCAGAGATTATATCTAGCTTGTCTATACAGTAAAACCAATCCCATACCTAGTGTACCAGAGATTATATCTAGCTTGTCTATACAGTAAAACCAATCCCATACCTAGTGTACCAGAGATTATATCTAGCTTGTCTATACAGTAAAACCAATCCCATACCTAGTGTACCATAGATTATATCTAGCTTGTCTATACAGTAAAACCAATCCCATACCTAGTGTACCATAGATTATATCTAGCTTGTCTATACAGTAAAACCAATCCCATACCTAGTGTACCAGAGATTATATCTAGCTTGTCTATACAGTAAAACCAATCCCATACCTAGTGTACCAGAGATTATATCTAGCTTGTCTATACAGTAAAACCAATCCCATACCTAGTGTACCAGAGATTATATCTAGCTTGTCTATACAGTAAAACCAATCCCATACCTAGTGTACCAGAGATTATATCTAGCTTGTCTATACAGTAAAACCAATCCCATACCTAGTGTACCAGAGATTATATCTAGCTTGTCTATACAGTAAAACCAATCCCATACCTAGTGTACCAGAGATTATATCTAGCTTGTCTATACAGTAAAACCAATCCCATACCTAGTGTACCAGAGATTATATCTAGCTTGTCTATACAGTAAAACCAATCCCATACCTAGTGTACCAGAGATTATATCTAGCTTGTCTATACAGTAAAACCAATCCCATACCTAGTGTACCAGAGATTATATCTAGCTTGTCTATACAGTAAAACCAATCCCATACCTAGTGTACCAGAGACTATATCTAGCTTGTCTATACAGTAAAACCAATCCCATACCTAGTGTACCAGAGATTATATCTAGCTTGTCTATATCTAGCTTGTCTATACAGTAAAACCAATCCCATACCTAGTGTACCAGAGATTATATCTAGCTTGTCTATACAGTGAAACCAATCCCATACCTAGTGTACCATAGATTATATCTAGCTTGTCTATACAGTAAAACCAGTCCCATACCTAGTGTACCAGATATTATATCTAGCTTGTCCATACAGTAAAACCAATCCCATACCAAGTGTACTAGAGATTATATCTAGCTTGTCTATACAGTGAAACCAATACCATACCTAGTGTACCAGAGATTATATCTAGCTTGTCCATACAGCCGTCTCGCTCAGCCACTCCAGCGCCGTGACGTCCGTACAGACCGACAGCATGCACCTCATCTACAAAGGTGATAGCCCCATACTTGTGGGCCACATCACATAGCTCTGATAGAGGACAAACAGCACCTGAAGAAAAGAATAGACAAATGTCGGCCAAATTCAATGGTGTGTAATATTTAACACATGATAAAACTGCGTCAAAGAGTTAAGTTATGGAGTTAGAGATCATGAATTCAGCTAGGGTAAAATCAAATATTAAAGTCTAAAGGGATATATATGTCAAAGGTTGTCAGCTAGAATACAAGTACAGGTCTGACAATGTAAACTCCTTCCTAATGATTTCATGCTGCTGTTTTAGACACAGGGCAAAGTTAACAGTGCACTCCCACAAAATGTTACGTGATGGTGTGAAAACTACTGATAATCATCTTATTATTTATAATGAAAGCAAATTAAAGTAGTCACCAACAAAATTGATAATTTTTATATTAAACTTGACAACTACTTACCATCCATGGAATGTACAGTTTCAAAGGCAACTATTTTGGGCACACCTATATCCACTTGTTTGAGTAGATACTCCAGGTGCTCTGGATCATTGTGCCGGAATATATGCTTGGGTGCCCCGCAGTTCCTGATACCCTGGATCATGGAGGCATGGTTCCCGGCATCAGAAAATATATGCACACCTGAAAGTAAAACATGTAAAAGGCTAGTGCACATTTCAGAGAAAGCAAAACAGACAGAAACTTGATTAACTTGATGAAAATTTTCACCTGGTAATAAATGATATTTTGATGATAATAAAATTTACTAACATCCAACTTTAAAGGAAAAGTCAGGTACATACTAATTCTTACCTGTTTAAGATTCCAGAGTGTACAAAAATAGTCTTTGACACACTAACCTGGTAGAGATTTCCCGATAGTGTACAGATGTATCTTACCTGGTAAAGTTTTCCCGAGAGTATACAGGAGTGCCTTACCTTGTAAAGTTTTCCCAAAAGTATACAGGAGTGCCTTACCTTGTAAAGTTTTCCCAAGAATATACAGGTGTGCCTTACCTGGTAAAGTTTTCCCGAGAGTATACAGGTGTGCCTTACCTGGTAAAGTTTTCCTAAAAGTATACAGATGTGCCTTACCTGGTAAAGTTTTCCCGAGGGTATACAGGGTAGAGTCATTAGCAACATAACAGGAAGTGAAGACTAGTGCAGACTCCTTCTGATGTAGAGATGCCAGTTCTTGTTCCAGTTCTTCATGGAGAGGTGAGTTCCCCGAGATGTTTCTAGTACCGCCGGCCCCAGCTCCATGCTCTTGGACAGCCCGCCTACAACAAGTCACTACAATATCAACATACAGCCTGCCTCCTATAATCCATTACTACCTCAAAAGATAATTCTTATTGACAGCCCACCTACAACAAGTCAATGTTACTGGTTTCTGATTGACTCTTAGTTATCAAAGCAGTATGTGTTATTTTTATGTATTCCTATATATATGTAGGACCAAAGAGAAAGATCACAAGAGAAATTCCACTGAACCACACTCCCCTACTAAACTTACTCCACAGCCTTTGTGACTTTAGGATGCCAGCTCATTCCCAGGTAATCATTACTACACCATACAGTGATGTCTTTCTTCTTCCCAGAGTGTTCTTCTGCATATGGGAACTTATGGCCTTTCCTCATCACATTCTTGAAGATCCGGTATGAATGGTCCCTCTTTTTCTTCAGGATTTCTTTCTCAAAGAAGCGTTCATAGTTGAACAGAGAAATCGTCTCTAATGGGTCATCACCTGCAAAAGGAAGAAGGGACAATCAATAAATTTTTGAAAGTTCAGCACAGCAGAATTCTGTAGGTATTGATACAGATTAAAAATTCCAGTCCTAATTGTTAGTGATGCTGCTTAAGATTGTCTACACTTGCATGCAACATCTGATAGACTACACATGTTTGCAACATCTGAAAGACTACACCTGTATGCAACATATGATAGACTACACTTGCATGCAACATCTGATAGATTACACCTGTATGCAACATCTGATAGACTACACCTGTATGCAACATCTGATAGACTACACTTGTATACGAGATCTGATAGACTACACCTGTATGCAACATCTGATAGACTACACCTGTATGTGAGATCTGACAGACAACACTTGTATGTGAGATCTGATAGACTACACTTGTATGTGAGATCTGATAGACTACACTTGTATCTGATAGACTACACCTGTATGCAACATATGATAGACTACACTTGTATGCGAGATCTGATAGACTACACTTGTATGCGAGATCTGATAGACTACACTTGTATGCGAGATCTGATAGACTACACTTGTACGCGAGATCTGATAGACTACACTTGTATGCAAGATCTGATAGACTACACTTGTATGCAACATCTGATAGACTACACTTGTATGCAACATTTGATAGACTACACTTGTATCTGATAGACTACACCTGTATGCAACATATGATAGACTACACTTGTATACGAGATCTGATAGACTACACTTGTATGCGAGATCTGATAGACTACACTTGTATGTGAGATCTGATAGACTACACATGTATGTGAGATCTGATAGACTACACTTTTGTCTATTCTGACCTTGATATCCAATTAAGGATAGCTTCATTTCCTGTAGTGCTCTTTCCACTTGAAGACCTGATGGAAAACTAGGGGGTTTGGAAACCCTCTTGATTGGACTTTGCATACTGCACTCCATAGCAACTGGCCCTGTCTCCTTTTTCCTTTCCTTATCAACAAGGCTCTGATTGGACGAAGCCGAGTCAGTGATGCAGTCTGCCTCTGGTGTCACTTCCTCCTTTGTGGAATCCATCATATCGTCAAAGGAATCATTATCACGCAGGATTTCTGTAAATAACAACACAACAAGTGTCTCCATGTACTTCCACAAGCTTTAAACTGTTGATACTATAACAAGTAACATTTAACCTACAGTTATAAAATGTCTGTAACATGTCACTTCAATTAAGACTTCAAGTCTCAGAAAATAACACTTTTAACCTTTATACAATAGAACCAGGTCTACAGAGATAAGGCTTTTAACGGAATAAGAAACTTTCGAGATGAAATTTTGGTACATATGAATTTCTGTAAGTGCCTAGTGTATAAAAGACTTAAAAAAATTACCAGAAAATAGATCAATTTAAATAAGAGTTGGAAAAGTTTCTGAAAAACTGGTCCTATAAGATCAGTTTCGACAGTGTAGCTAATTATTTTACTGTAAGTCAGGTTCATCAATTTTCCTGAATATTTTTTTGTAACCAATAAATTAAAGATCAGCTAAATCCACAATGATAAATAAAACCTTACCTCTTTGAACAATAGTGTGGACGTTACCCTCTATGGTCAGGTTACTTTTGGCCAGAAATGGACACCGGCTGGCAGGATTGGAATCTGTAACAGAAACAGTCATTAGTGCAACTCTGATTATCATCAAACAGCGAACAGCGAACCAGAGGAGTTGATATAGTTTTATCATTACAAAATAACATAAATTTGTTTGCTGGTGTAACTGACATTTTTAAGTGTCCTGACCAAGGTCTACTGCAGATGTTCCTGGGGTGTACACTGTACAATTTAAAATATAAGCCCACAGACACTTTTTTGAAAATTCTACCAGCCAAATGTATACTACTGAAAACACTGACCAAAATAATAACTGACTTGTTATCTTTTGCACATATTCTGAGATAATCTTTTGAAGTACTTCTCCAAGAGTCCAGGAAAGGGAAACCACCTACAGGGTTGTGGTACTGATAAATGACTAGTTCAATTAATAACTATAACAAGGTCAAACGGTAGATTTTGGTCAATCAACCCCATGTTATTATTTCTACTCATATACAAATCCACATCATATACTAATATCCCCAATTTTATCAGTTTAATGCACAATAAATTCTTACATTAGGAGTCTTCTCGGCCAGTAAAACTGACTGCCAGTGTGTACTAACCTAGCTCAGCAGCCTCTCTGGGCAGGAGACTCATGTATCGGAACGCATGGGCCATGATCGGACAGCGTTCGGCGTACGACATCAGCTGAGGCGCTGCTTTCTTTACCTGGTTCATCGGAATGCGACTCAGGAACGGACATCGCAGTGACGCAGTCATGTTGCTCAATCTGAAACAGGCAAAGCATTCAAATGATACAAGTAGTCTTTAGCTCTTTATTTGGACAAACTGTTAGGAAAAGCTTTTTAATTACACCTTAAGGATCTTCATCTTAAGATTTTAACATGTTTGACCCCTGTGACCAGCAATGTATTGGTATTGTGCTGGAGAGGATGTGATAGCATTGAGGCACGGTAGTCTAGTGGTAATACGCCAGGCTCGTGACCAAAGGGTTGCAGGTTCGAGTCATGGCACGGCACTGTGTTGTATCTTTGAGCAAGATACTTTACTCGGATTGTTCAAATCTACTCGGCTGTAAATGAGTACGTGGTTGGGCAGTGCTAGAACTGTAGAATGCTAGCTGTGAGCGCCAAATGGCAGCACTGGCTGTATGCTCCCCAGGGAGTTGAGAAAGATATTGGCTGGTTGCAAAGGCCCTATAACCACGGATAATAATTTGTGAACCACTTAGCGGTGTATAAGAACCTCAAATTATAATTATTCTTATTATTGATCTGATCCTGGCTCACTGAAATATCAAGCCGAAGAGCCGAAGACACCCAGTACAGTACACCATGCATCCAAATTATACTTACAATTTTCTTCACGCTCCTAATTTCCTGCGTGTAATCAAATTAATCACTTACTTCTGACCTCTGTTTGTAAAGAGCTAACTATAGTACTGTACTATCACTGATCGGGTGAATGAACCATGCCCATAACCAAGATATGCTTGTTACCTTGCCAACAAAGATCTGTTCATGTCCGCAACAGGATTAGCAATTAAACGGGAACTGTATAAAGAGCGTGGTTCATTAGATGTGACAATACTGATTACCTAGAACTTCCTGTAATTATTCTCGTTACTAATCAAACTATTGGTCTGATCACCCTGACAACCAGCTGGTCCAAACTCCGTGTTATATTGCAAGGTCAATGTTGACTAAAGTGGAACATTATACAAGGACTGAGTGAAGTATATTTGCATTTGAAAGTTAACTCCACGAAAAATCAATCAATGACAAGAAGACTACCGGTATGTTATGTACATTAACTAATTGTCCAACTTTATCAAGATTTGAATAAATAGCTCCTTATTATAAAACATTCTTCAGCTATTGTGGAAGTTTAACTTTGTAATGCTGATTGTGTTGTAAATTAATGATGAGATAACATTATAATAAGTTAATATCTTTATGTCCCATGCACGCCTATCCTGAATTCATACAATCATCCACCTACTTATTTACAGACATACACGCCTATCCTGAATTCATACAATCATCCGCCTACTTATTTACGGACATGCACGCCTATCCTGAATTCATACAATTATATGCCTACTTATTGACTGACATGCACGCCTATCCTGAATTCATACAATCATCCACCTACTTATTGACGGACATACACGCTTATCCTGAATTCATACAATTATCCGCCTACTTATTGACTGACATGCACGCCTATCCTGAATTCATACAATCATCCACCTACTTATTGACGGACATACACACCTATCCTGAATTCATACAATCATCCACCTACTTATTGACGGACATACACGCCTATCCTGAATTCATACAATCATCCACTTACTTATATTATTGACATGATTTTTTTTCTTACCTTCAACCTTGAGTATGAAATGGCGATATCTACTTATATAAACATTTCAATTCACATTCATTACACTGCTTTTTACATTTACATATTAATAAAGATTGATACATGCTCTACTGCTACTATTTTTTTGTTCATTCGTAGGAAATGTTCACTTATAAACAGTTGGCTTTAACAACACAGGTAGGTATTTTTTTAATTTAATACAGTCCTTTAATACTGCTTATGCCTGAACGCACACACAAGTGGTGTTGTAACAGTTGGAAATGTATATTGCTTTAGTCGAGTGGTTCCTGTTCACCAGTAAAGTATAGCTAAGGATTTAGTCTGCAATTAAACTACAGGGTACAGCTGATTAAGTACAAACAGTAAAGTTTCCCAGGTAAATCATGGTTGTTATGTCCTGATGGGGTTTTTTGTTGACAAGTTACTTTACATAAACTGACAAAAACAGTTTGACAAGTACAAGAACCTAACATTGATTTAGTTTTTTGTTAAGTACCCAAATTGTTCCATATATTAAGGCAATCAAAGCTGGTCGTCTTAGTTCTGTTATGGAATAACCCAATACAAATACAACAAGTCCACATGTCTTACTCTTATTATTACTTACTAGTCAAACCTAATCTGTGAAGTGGTGAGCACCACGACAAACTTCTAGATAAACAGGGCGTGTCAGAACATCCACAGCAATAGACTGCCACAAGACCATGAAGGATCAATAGTCGATCACATGTAGGTACAGGAAATATCAAAAAAACTTAATTACCCTAGGGTGAACGATTTTTGGTCAAAACTGAGATTTGCAACTCAAATTACAAGTCTATATATATATATCACCCATACCTACATAATGATTCTGTTTCTCCTATATTTACCAAATTTTGTAAAACATGACATGAAAAGGCAAGTGAAATTTAATGAAAATTCTTAATAACATGGATATAGATACACATAGAAGCGGAAAAAGTATGGTAAACCATAGGTTGAAAGAAGAAATTGAAAGGAGAACGCAAGATCTTATGGAAAAAAGTTGGTGTATGTTGCTAACAGAATAATTGTCTTGGTTGGTCAACAATGTTTTGTTGAGCTTTCAATTTGACAAAATGAAAAATACCTTTTCAATTGTGATGCTATAATATTAATAGTAAAGGCCACTGAATGCCCCAGTGTGGAACTAGCTACCAGGTAATAGATCTGTCAGCACATTGGGGGTGAGTAGGTGGATCATAACCAAATGGGAAGATTTTTAAGTTGCTAAAACCTAAATGAGGCCTGCAGTGGTTGTCAACATAGAATCTCCCTCCCAGTGTTGAGATGAATCTCCCTCCCAGTGTTGAGATGTATCTCCCTCCCAGTGTTGAGATGAATCTCCCTCCCAGTGTTGAGATGAATCTCCCTCCCAGTGTTGAGATGAATCTCCCTCCCTGTGTTGAGATGAATCTCCCTCCCAGTGTTGAGATGAATCTCCCTCCCAGTGTTGAGATGAATCTCCCTCCCAGTGTTGAGATGAATCTCCCTCCCAGTGTTGAGATGAATCTCCCTCCCAGTGTTGAGATGAATCTCCCTCCCAGTGTTGAGATGAATCTCCCTCCCAGTGTTGAGATGAATCTCCCTCCCAGTGTTGAGATGAATCTCCCTCCCAGTGTTGAGATGAATCTCCCTCCCAGTGTTGAGATGAATCTCCCTCCCAGTGTTGAGATGAATCTCCCTCCCAGTGTTGAGATGAATCTCCCTCCCAGTGTTGAGATGAATCTCCCTCCCAGTGTTGAGATGAATCTCCCTCCCAGTGTTGAGATGAATCTCCCTCCCAGTGTTGAGATGAATCTCCCTCCCAGTGTTGAGATGAATCTCCCTCCCAGTGTTGAGATGAATCTCCCTCCCANCCCGAGTGTTGAGATCTACAAACTATTTGAATTATATTTTGATGATTGGATAGTCCCTCATCACAATCCAAGTGTGTGACAAGGATACCTGAGAGTAAGAGAAACATTATCCCATGTGATTGTTCCATATGGGACACATGTATTTTACATGTACACGTGTATGTGGGAGGAAACACAATATTCGAGATATTTGTAAACCTAACAAAGTTTGAATGTGTACTCATGTGTACTGTAGATAACCCAGTGACATTGAAGGGTTGTGTTCCGTTTCTTAGTCCGTGTACATTTATCTACATAGAAGTAAGCTGTCTTCAGCAGGAGATTCTCTCCACTAACAATAATCAAAATCTGACATACACCTCACTACAGTGTGAAACTTCTCCAAATGTTCATGTTTTAACCCTGTGGTAACTCGGCAGAGGGCAGAACATAACAAAGCATTTGTATCTATTATAACCAACTGAAAAGGCACACACAGCTTGTTTGATGATCATGTGACACAGGGGTCACTTGTATAAAACATCTCAAAGTTAAGGAAAATCTCAAGCAATGTATTGTCTATGGGAAATCTTAGACTTGAGGAAATCTCAAGAGTTGAGATGTTTTATACAAGTGGGCCCAGGACTTTTCTCTTGATAATGTGACACACAAAACATGTTTCTTGATCATGTGACATACAAAACATGTTTCTTGATCACGTGACACACAAAACATGTTTCTTGATCACGTGACAAAAGGCTAACCACAGTAAAACTGAGAGAGCTATTTTACAGGATTCTTTCACAGCAAGTTATCTTGCACCTTAGTTTACACAGAAAAAAAGACTTGATGTCCATATTCATCTACTGGTCATCATGGAAACAATCAAAATTTACCAGTATCAAATAAGCACATTTAACCTATTTGGATGTGCAAGTTTTGTGTGGCATGGTAACCAAGGAGATGGAAAAACAAGCTTTAGACTTGTAAGTTAATTCTTCTCCTCAAAGCAATTTTAATCACACATCTACCATTCTACGGCACAACCAGCCTCTCAGAATATAACATTATGATCAATATTCACCTGATCTTACAGATTATTCAGAGTGAGCAATTTTACGCACTGATTTGATATGGGTAGGATTAATAATTTATACTTATAATCAGAGTAATCCAGTTTTACTAATTATACACAAAGCACTGAGTGAACAAAACGTTCCTCTTGTCAGCCTATCCCTGCTGTTAGATGATAACACCTTTATTAAAGGAAGACAAAGAGGAGACGATACAGTGATCGGACAGATAAGGACGCCAGACTAAGTACAGACACGATACTCATCAAACAAAACAGCGCTTGTTAACAAATTCACCCCTGAAATTTCATAGTGAACTATTCCAACCTTTGAATTGGAAGAGTTCAAATGTGTCTTCAGGGGTGGTGAATGAGTTAACATGGCACTTTATTACAGAAACACGTAAATTTAGAATCAATTTCACACATATATTTTTAATGTATATTTATTTACATTTTACAAAAATAAAAAAGATTAATGAAGCCATACAGAACGAGTGAAAAAACAGATAAAAAATGCAATACAGAAAACACAAAAATTCATCCTGAAATAATACAACTGCTGCACCACCTGTGTTGGCAGTTTGAATATACCAATACAGTTTATCTATATGTCATTGCTATACATACAGGGTTTATGGAAATTCAGCTAGATGTTTAGGTTAAATCTCCTATGAAAATTCGTATTCATCATTTAGTTCATAGCATATATACATACTAGCAATACATTTTCAACATTTATAGATTTTCTATTTCCTAACCAACAATTCAAAAATGAAAAAAAAATGTGCCCAAAAGAACAAGGAAATGATAAGCATGAGTATCTTCAGGCTAGAAAAGTACAAAAATGCCCCAATTCATTACAATAGCCTGATGAAATGGCAATTCAGCTGGATTCTTGAGCTCAAAACTCTTCAGAAAATGAACAAATAGTTCATAACATATATACTAACACTACATTTTCAACATTTAAGCATTAATGTTTCCTGGTCTAAAATTTTACAGTGAAAAATATTGCGTCTAAAAGAAAGCATGCTGTGAAATCACTTGCTCATTTCATATTTTACTTGATTGATAAATTTTGAGAAACGTGAGGCTTAAGAAGTTTACAAATGTACCCGGTCACATAAAACCTGATCCCTGATGATGGAGCTCATAATAATCCCCATTTCAATATGTAAAACATATCAGTGTACATATGAAAACAGGCCAAATAAACTATCAGAGTCCTCTACAACAATGTTACATAAACTAATATTCCACGTACGCTCCGTATAATACTAGAAAACAATTGTTCAGGCCCACAATCAGGCAGTACTTACACACACTTGGAGAACATGATACCACTGTATTTATATAAACACCAATCTATTTGTAATCCGTGACTTGTCTACCATATAAGTATACCTATATAGAAGTGACAACTAGGATAAACATCCAACAGGTATTATACTTCCACAGGTAAATTGACAGACCTATCAGTGTACGGCACGTGATGATTGACGTTAGCTGCCCCACCTTATCAAGTATCCAGAGACTGTAGTCATCGTAAGCAGTGACCACCAGTATTCCTACCCCCGGGGCCTGCATACTGAAAAATGAATATTGGCATTCCTAACCCCCGGGGCCTGTGTAGTGAGCACTCAGACAAACAGTATTCCTAACCCCCAAGACCTGCATAGTATATCTAGCACAGGGGCCTGTTTAGCGAGAGCTGACCACCAGCATCCCTACCCTGGGGCTCATGTAATAAGCAATGGTCATCAATATTCCCTATATAGCTACCTATCCTTGGAGAAACAAAAACTGAAAATCTTACAAAATTTCTTCAATACCCTGATGCTATCAACTTTCCCTGTTGAAGTTTTTGATGCTGGTCTAGTAGTATTTTAAATATAGCTGGAGGCACATACAGGTCTCATATCATACCTCCAGATACTCAGATATAAACGTAACATTAAATGTTTATTTACCTTCTCATAAATCTGGTTTCTTGAAATATTTGAGGTCAGGCAACTTTTATTAGATCCCGTAAAACTTTTTAGCATTTTTTGTACATTTGAGCTTCTGATTAAAAATACAACAGTGTACAAGTTAGGGGAACTCCTTCATATAATGTAAACAACTCCATGTATTAATGTTCGACAGTTGGCCTGGTGTGAAAAAGACAATGTTAGGTCATGTATTATTAACATAATGCCTCCAGGTGTGACAATAGATCTCCAAGGCATAAACCATGGTTTCTTTCCCCATTTGTCTGTTTTTCTCGTGATAGTGGGCAAAATAGAGTGATATCAAGCAGCATAAAATTGTTCTTTTGCCTGTATCGCAATACACCAACAGCACTTTTAACTATGAATCAATTTTTCACAAAACTCCAAAAAAGTGTACAGATATTTTTTTTAATTCTTCAGTAAAGATTCGGTCCACTATGCAGTCATACCCAAAAGCACTAGAAATCATACAAAAATATATTTTGCTATTATTTACCGTAGATATCTGCGTATAATGCACACTTATTTAGGGGAAAATTATAATCTCAAGAAAGAGTGTGCACTATACATGGGAACAATCCAAAACCAGTTATTGGTTGAACATTTATCAAAAGTTTTTATTGATTTTCGGAAATATTTTGAAAAATAATTCCTGATTGCAATAGTTATTTCCCCATTACAAAAAGTTGTAATTTATATACAGTAGGCCTTACTTTCAGGTCTCTTCAGTGGTAAGTTGGGAATTGTTCAAAAGTGACTGGGAAAATATACAGACAATTAGCATGGTCACTTCGTATAGTACTCTTAAGAAACAAAACGCTGTCCAGAGGTTAAACTATGTTGTAATATTCAATCTTGGTCGTTAGTTTTAGTTTATAAATTAAATATACAGGAAATGAACGATGGAATATGCATCATTATTTTATCTTTCAGAACAAGACAAAGTATTGCAAGGCAATCCATAGTCCCCTACTGGTTATGATTTCTATATTCAACAAACAGTACACTTATGTCAGGAAGCAGATCAGAGGTCACAGTGTGGTCATAGTGACCTACTTCTTGTACTCTGCAATCCCAAGACGTCCTTTTACACCAAATCTGGTTACTCCAGGTGAAATATTACAGAAAATATGGGAGAATGTGTTTATTCAGTTTACCTTCATTGGTGACCTACCTGCACTGGTTGGTGCCTTCAGTCCATCAGTTCACAAAATAACAATAGCATGTAAATAGCACAATGACCTAGGTAGCGAGCTTGAAATACAAACTCATTCAAATTTCAAAGTAATTTCATACAAACAAAACAGATATACATGTACCAATTTACTTGCACGTAATAACAGACACTCCCACACAAAAACAGACATTCTCACACAAAAACAGACACTCCCACTTACCTTCCAGATGCGGTATTTCTTTACTGTTCTGTGCTTGGATCACTGGAAACAAGATTATGTTCATTTTAATCAATTCAAATAAAAATTAAATTCATTTGTGACAGAGGTCCAGTTTCTTAAACAAAACAATAGAAAACACTACAATTGTAAACTAACTACTGTTAATGGGAAGATTTCTGCAGGCAGATTGTCTCAGAGTGGTCTTTTAATACAGGTGATCTCAGAGTGATCTCTTAATACAGACTTTCTTAGAGTGGTCTCTTAATACAGGTTGTCTCAGATTGGTCTCTTAATACAGACCGTCTCAGAGTGGTCTTTTAATACAGGTGATCTCAAGAGTGATCTCTTAATACAGACTTTCTTAGAGTGGTCTCTTAATACAGATTGTCTCAGAGTGGTCTCTTAATACAGGTTGTCTCAGATTGGTCTCTTAATACAGGTTGTCTCAGAGTAATACAGATATAACGAATTAGGTAACTTGGTCTCTTAATACAGATTGTCTCAGAGTGATCTCTTAATACAGATTGTCTCAGAGTGGTCTCTTAATACAGGTTGTCTAAAAGTGGTCTCTTGATACAGATTGCCTCAGAGTGGTCTCTTAATACAGGTTGTCTCAGAGTGGTCTCTTATTACAGGTTGTCTAAACAGGTTGTCTCAGAGTGGTCTCTTAATACAGGTTGTCTCAGAGTGGTTTCTTAATACAGGTTGTCTAAACGTGGTCTCTTAATACAGATTGCCTCAGATTGGTCTCTTAATACTTGTTGTCTCAGAGTGGTCTCTTAATACAGACCGTCTCATAGTGGTCTCTTAATACAGGTTGTCTCAGAGTGGTCTCTTAATACAGATTGTCTCAGAGTGGACTCTTAATACAGGTTGTCTCAGAGTGGTCTCTTAATACAGACCGTCTCAGAGTGGTCTCTTAATACAGGTTGTCTCAGAGTGGTCTCTTAATACAGATTGCCTCAGAGTGGTCTCTTACTACAGATTGTCTTAGAGTGGTCTCTTAATACAGACAGTCCCAGAGTGGTCTCTTAATACAGATTGTCTAAAAGTGGTCTCTTAATACAGGTTGCCTCAGAGTGGTCTCTTAATACAGATTCGTCTCAGAGTGGTCTCTTAATACAGACCGTCTCATAGTGGTCTCTTAATACAGGTTGTCTCAGAGTGATCTCTCAATAAAGGTTGTCTCAGAGTGGTCTCTTAATACAGATTATCTCAGAGTGGTCTCTTAATACAGGTTGCCTCAGAGTGGTCTCTTAATACAGATTGCCTCAGAGTGGTCTCTTAATACAGGTTGTCTAAGTAAGAGTGGTCTCTTAATACAGGTGATCTCAGAGTGGTCTCTTAATACAGGTTGTCTCAGAGTGGTCTTTTAATACAGGTGATCTCAGAGTGATCTCCTTATACAGACTTTCTTAGAGTGGTCTCTTAATACAGGTTGTCTCAGATTGGTCTCTTAATACAGGTTGTCTCAGAGTGATCTCTTAATACAGGTTGTCTCAGAGTGATCTCTTAATACAGATTGACTCAGAGTGATCTCTTAATACAGATTGTCTCAGAGTGGTCTTTTAATACAGGTGATCTCAGAGTGGTCTCTTAATACAGGTTGTCTCAGAGTGATCTCTCAATAAAGGTTGTCTCAGAGTGGTCTCTTAATACAGATAATCTCAGAGTGGTCTCTTAATACAGGTTGCCTCAGAGTGGTCTCTTAATACAGATTGCCTCAGAGTGGTCTCTTAATACAGGTTGTCTAAGTAAGAGTGGTCTCTTAATACAGGTGATCTCAGAGTGGTCTCTTAATACAGGTTTTCTCAGAGTGATCTCTTAATACAGTTGTCTAAGTAAGAGTGGTCTCTTAATACAGGTTCAAAACAAAATGGGAAACATTGAAATTGGCCTTTTTAGACAGGTGATCTTTTAATGGAGGTGTTTCAATTAAACAAACTTGACTTTACAGGGGTATATATATATGAAAGGTCATTCATAAATCTTAATTCATGCCACACATGTACTGTTTTTTTTAAAAGTCTGAAGAGATGGTCTGTGTAACACTTGCCTCGCATCAGGCACCTGTTCTATTTTATTCAAACTCAAAGAAAAATGTATACAAGTTAGGGCTGCCCCGATACATATTTCTCGCGGTACGATACGAATTGGGTTACGATGCTTTCGATACGATACAAAAATCTGCTTAAAAGTTCAACTTCATAATGATTGAGTGCAGGATTTTATCATAGACTTCAATAGTAAACACTATCGAAATATATTTTTGCATAATTCCTGAACTAGTACTTTTGTTTGGGTATGACTGCACAGTGAACCACATCTTAACTGAAGGATTAAACTAATATAACTACACTTAGTCCACATTTTTACTTAAGGATTAAAAAAAAAATAACTACACTCTTTAGGAGTTTGATAAAATAAATTGATAATTTAAGTACAGTTAGTGTATCGCGATACAGGCAAACAAAATAATTTGATACAATACATAATAATGTATCGTGATACGATATATCGCAGCAGCTCTAATACAAGTAAATTAATTTCACATCAATATGTGTATGTGACTCTGTGAACCAATCAGCAGGAACCTTTCCATCACCATTTCCATTCAGGCAATATTTTAATACCTACTGTAGATCAAGGCCATGCTTTAACTTGGAAGATAAAAATATACAAAAGCAACAACTAACAATGTTGTGGATGAAAGAAATTTCAGAATGTCAGGTTTACCATAAAACACAAACCAATGTCTGACCACGATTATTACTAAAGCATTGTGATGAACACATACCTGTGGGTTGTACTTGTGAGGTGTTGTCTGTTCCCCGTGTGTGTGTGCCCTTCACTGAGAGCGACTCACTTCTGTAAAACACAAAAACACTTATGTTACAAATATGTACTTCATTATCTAACATTATACCTGTAACCAACAAAATTACAACAGTGTTCACGTTAAAAGCCACATAGGTTAACAGACACTAGAAAAGTGTACATTCAACCTGATGTTCTCTCCAAGGCAACAAACTTTTTTTCAAATTTAAAGAGAACACTATGATATAGATGGAACAACACCACATGTCCATCTTAAACCTACCTTTGCTGGCATAGAGACTTGTTTACAGAATGTTCACAGAAAAGCTAACTGACCGAAAACTAAGTAGTCTGAACACATATGGCAGCAGATATCTTACTGTAAACAGTGGCGCAGATGTCAGACAAATCAAACCGGTGGTATCAAAAAATCAATTGAGGACAGTGTAATGCTGGATCAACCTGTTCCTAATCGGCTTTTCATTTCAACTTCCTTCTACGTATAACTCCAAATGAATTTCACGAAAATTACATTAAAACCCTATAAATCTAACAAATAATACCATATTAATTCAATTGTTTGAAAATGTTTGAAGGTTAAAAATTTCACCAATAGCAGGAAATGACCATGAAGTATAGAGATAAATCTTAAGTGTGATTGTATACATGTACATTAATTGACATAATTCAATGAGTGTTAAATTGGGAGGGGGGGCTCCAGACCTTATTGAAACAATAACAAAATATTATATCTAATGGGAATACGCAATCACAACTATTGAATTAGTACACCAATTTTCAATGCATTAAACCCATTTGATCTTCAATGGGGTCAAGGTCATTTATTTGAAGAAACTTCAAAGCCATCCATCTGATGTTATATTGGCCACATGGTTAAATATAGAGCAAGATGTTAACACATCTGACCAAAATTACCTTAACATAATTAACATAATTATATCAACATAATTATATTCATGAACAAACTACAAAACCAGCAAAAGGCCCAGAGGGTCTGTATCAATCACCTTGTAATTAAGTAACTGTTAAGTATGGAAAACCTATAAATTATTTGTTTACTTAATATGACTTTATTAAACACTGGATTACTCATTTTATCAATCCAGAAAAGAAAGATTTCATTTTTCATTTTTTTTTTAATTATTGAAAGTCACACTTCAACCCGCTCATCCTAAATAAAATTATGATGCATGTAACATACACCCTTTTTGCTATTTCTTAGCCTAGAAATATAACTTACAGGTGTTTTTAAACAAAGATATCTAATTAATAGTCATGCTTTTTAAAATTTAGCACCGACACACCTCTGGTTAGGGGTCAGAAACTATTTGAATCCCAACCTGTACATATCAGGAGTTACCTTCAAAACGAATTAAGCTGAAAGCCTGATTGAAACAATAATGTTAGAATATTTTGGCCCCATAAACTATGTCAGTCTGTAAGATCCTGTGTAACCAACAGGGAGATATTTCATTTACCGGGTAGTTTGATATGAAGGACAAAAAATTATACAAATCAATTCAAAGTGATTATGTTGAAAGTTAATTGAAATGATGAAAGATAAAGTTCTGTAGCATTACTGAGTGTCTGGATTGTGTGATATATTTCTATGGGGAGATAATCAGACACTCAGCAGGCATCCATGCCAATTCTGGTTACAATCGGGGTTGAAGATAAGTAGAACTTTATGCATGTACAAAACCACTTTTTCCTATCCCCCCCCCCCCCCCCCACTTCTTCCTGAGAGGGCACTGTCTTTGTTCATTAAATAAATAACAAAACAAAAAAATGTTTGCCTTAATGAACATTTACATTATATTTAATTTTAGTGACAATAAGTGGGAGGACAACAGGACAACAGACCTGTCTTCAGACAAATGAGCTAAACAAATCTGATATGTAATGCACACATATATGCTTGCTAATGATCTCATTCAGAAACTATGAAATAAAATTAACTTCATAACCTGAAATATTGAACTTACAGGGTAAGTAATTTAACATATTTCTAATATCTCCAAGGTAAAAAAACATTATTTAAATTTTAAAACATCTTTAATACCATGGTTTATCTATATATGAATTTTCAAATTCGTGACTGGATATTTTTACAATTCTTATGACATTTAACATGAATTTCATTGCATACAGTAGCAAGAAAATAATAATGCCCTATATTTGCCACACTTGATGTGGCTGTTTTAAGTTTATAGGTAATGGATAAATGATATCGATAGAACCAACGTCAGTCAGGGGTATTGACATTTCCATTTGAGTGGGGCACTGCACAGTAACGAGATTACATACGAAATAGTATGCAGGGTGATTTAAGTATAGTCAATATATAATTGTTTATTACGGATCAATCACCATACTAACTCATGCGTCACCAAGTGAATGGGATGTTATGCTTCATCAGGACCGATTAAGATTTTAACACATCACCTAGTAATGTATGAGTTGTGTTGTGATTGATACCTTGTATATAATTAGTATACGGTGTACTGGAACCAGCCATGTCAGCTGTAAATGTACCTAGCTAGTGTATATCCTCACTGGCTTAACAACGATTTCAGTCATGACATCAGAAAAGTCTCGTCAGCAGAATTTAACATGTTTCTCAGGAAGAAAAAAAAGACTTTTCTATGAGCTTGAGGAGTTCAAATTAACGTACAAGACAGATCTAGATCTCAGTGCTCATATACCTAGAACATAAAATCTACCCAATGAGGGATGTTTAGTTGTCATATTTGCCTAATCTGAATATAACGTTTATTTTCAAATGATAAAAGTCACAAGGTTTACAATTTAGGGATCTTTTCTGACTTCCATAAAGTTCATAACGTGTCAGTTACAGTAATGATAACCTTGATCAGTGAACTCTCACCTTGGCACCCTAAATCATTTACTCATTCGATGTACACTTGTATAAAGTTTGTTAAAAAATCATTACAAAATGATGACAATAGAGAGAAGAATATTCCACAATGTATCATGCAGTACAAATGGAGCACAATAAGTGAACGCCTCCATCACCTCGTTGTGAGGGGGAAATTGATAGATTATGTGTTTCCCTAATTTGATTGAAGTTTGTTTACCTTACACACAATACATGTAAAACACCTATTGTGGCCAGTAGTACAGCAATGAGACTCCGAGGATGTCCTAGATTGTGACCCAGGTACATATTACACAATACCTTAAGATCACCCGATCTTGTTTACCTACACTGAACTATAAACTCAGGCAGCCTTACTGTTATAGTGATCTCACTGTACGTGATTTTTTTACGTCCTGATCATCAGGTTCAATAGTCCTCTTAAACAAGGAATGAACTGTAATAAATACAACCTTTACATTTGAAGCTCTTTCAATTTTCACCTTTGAAACTGGTAACTGAATTTCAAATAATATTTCTTCCTATCTGACTGTTGTAGCTGACTTTACCACTCCAAGCCTGATTTGTATTTTTTCTTTTCAAACCCTACATGAATAGAATATTTGATAATAAACTTACTTAATCAGTGATAAAAATCACATTGTTATCTTCATGTTCATACTTTGTACAGGGATCAAATACTTCATAGCTGCAAACGGAACAGACGATATTTACTTCAATAAAATGTCATGGTTTATAAGCAAAAACCACCCAAACTCTTAACCTTACATGGCGAGGTGCAGGTGTATCTAGACATATTATGTATACACTACTTTAAGAGTGGATCAATGCGTGATCACCTGATAAGAAATCGTGACATTCTGTTTGCAAGAGTGATTTCGTATTTAACTCAATTATAGAAAATCTTGTAAAACTACTTACTTTTACAGTAAGCTAGCTTATATAGCGAGCCAGTCTTGATACTCCAGTGGACTTACTATTGCTGTGTAGTAAGATGGACAGATATATCAGGAAGTAAGGTGTTGATGTGTGTAGTAGGACAACGACTAGTTGATGGCCACACCCACTCTCTTGACCTGGGTCATGATTGACATCTAATAGCTGGTCTTAGCTACAACACTAGTACAGTACATTGTACCTGATAGATATGGCCTAGGGCAGGAAATGTCTATAGGGAGAAAAACATATTTCTGTCCCTTGAGCGGGTAATATTAAAGTTTAATAGTCTAGAGTGATCTAGTAATACATATCAGTGGTGCCTGAGGGTCAAAGTATACACAGTAGAGTCAGGGAACTTGTTTTTATTAAGTGAACAACAGGACAATCAATTTTTTGTTTTTACCTGGTTGATGACATGTTTTGACCTACTATGATATCTTTTCCTTTCTATATGACTATATCAGTGAAAACCCTGAGAGAGGAACCAAATATGTCTATTGAAATTTGAAACAAAATCCATGTAGGAATGAAATCACTAGAATGATAAGAAAAACATCCCATATTACCCAGTAAAATAGAAATGTTGACCTTGTCACCCTAAAACACAAAACTGTTCAAAGGTATCCTCATACGTTTGACTCATTCATGAAGTTTGATCTAAATCCTCCTAGAAATGAAGTCGCTCAAGAGCTGAATCAAAAAAGTCTGATCAAACATGTACAAATTATGTATGAACAGAGTGCTATCCCCTAATCACAACTCCTTTACGAGAGGATGTTAACATATATATGACAATATGTCAACCTAATTTGCTCAAACATAAAAAAAATGTATAGCCAATATATAACCGAACAAATCACAGTGGAAACATGTAACAACATCTGTTTGTGATAGATCGCATATATAGACGATATATTAATATACGCTGATTTGTAAGATCACACATATATCCAATTTATTGATATATGCTGATTTGTACGATCACACATATCTGATATATTGATATACACTGATTTGTACAATCACATATATATACGATATATTGATAAACGCTGATTTGTACGATCACATATATCTGATATATTGATATACGCTGATTTGTACAATCACATATATGTACGATATATTGATATATGCTGATTTGTACGATCACATATATCTGATATATTGATATACACTGATTTGTACAATCACATATATATACGATATATTGATAAACGCTGATTTGTACAATCACATATATATACGATATATTGATATATGCTGATTTGTACGATCACACATATCTGATATATTGATATACACTGATTTGTACAATCACATATATATACGATATATTGATATACGCTGATTTGTACGATCACATATATCTGATATATTGATATACGCTGATTTGTACAATCACATATATATCCAATATATTGGTATACCCTGATTTGTACGATCACATATATATACGATATATTGATATACGCTGATTTGTACAATCACATATATATACGATATATTGATATACGCTGATTTGTACGATCACATATATCTGATATATGCTGATTTGTACAATCACATATATATCCAATATATTGGTATACCCTGATTTGTACGATCACATATATATCCGATTATTGATATACGCTGATGTGTGTACATAACAGAAGGGTTCTTCTTATCAGCTTTTTCAATTGACCAGATTAAGGTACAATATATGTATGCTGGTTTGAAAAGATACAACTGTGAATGTCCCAGAGAATTTAAATAGATGAGAAATGTATGCATACATGACTTGTCTAAAATACATGCAGATATGACAGTGACTAAAATATTAGGCCAACTGATACAGGGCCTGGTTTACAGACACAGTGATGATAGATATATCCAAAATTTATATATATATATGTGTATTTCAATGTTAAGGATCCGTGTCAAAGTAAGTGAGATAGATAGTTTAGGTAGCTATAGTTCAGTCAGTGAGATAGATAGTTAAGGTAGCTCAGTCAGTGAGATAGATAGTTTAGGTAGTTACGTCAGTGAGACAGATACCTTAGGTAGCCCAGTAAGTGAGTTCAGGCAGTTCAGTCAGTGAGACAGATACCTTAGGTACCCCAGTAAGTGAGATAGATAGTTTAGGTAACTCAGTAAGTGAGATAGATAGTCTAGGTAGCTCAGTCAGTGATATAGATCGTCAAGGTAGCTCAGTCAGTGAATTAGATAGTTTAGGCAGCTCAGTCAGTGAGATAGATAGTCTAGGTAGCTCAGTCAGTGATATAGATAGTTTAGGTAGCTCAGTCAGTGAGATAGATAGTTTAGGTAGTTCAGTCAGTGAGATAGATAGTTTAGGTAGCCCAGTAAGTGAGATAGATAGTCCAGGTAGCTCAGTCAGTGAGATAGAAAGTCTAGGTAGCTCAGTCAGTGAGATCGATAGTTTAGGCAGCTCAGTCAGTGATATAGATAGTTTAGGTAGCTCAGTCAGTGAGATAGATAGTCTAGGTAGCTCAGTCAGTGAGATAGATAGTTTAGGTAGCTCAGTCAGTGAGATAGATAGTTTAGGTAGCTCAGTCAGTGAGATAGATAGTTTAGGTAGCTCAGTCAGTGAGATAGATAGTTTAGGTAGCTCAGTCAGTGAGATAGATAGTTTAGGTAGCTCAGTCAGTGAGATAGATAGTTTAGGTAGCTCAGTCAGTGAGATAGATAGTTTAGGTAGCTCAGTCAGTGAGATAGATAGTTTAGGTAGCTCAGTCAGTGAGATAGATAGTTTAGGTAGCTCAGTCAGTGAGATAGATAGTTTAGGTAGCTCAGTCAGTGAGATAGATAGTTTAGGTAGCTCAGTCAGTGAGATAGATAGTTTAGGTAGCTCAGTCAGTGAGATAGATAGTTTAGGTAGCTCAGTCAGTGAGATAGATAGTTTAGGTAGCTCAGTCAGTGAGATAGATAGTTTAGGTAGCTCAGTCAGTGAGATAGATAGTTTAGGTAGCTCAGTCAGTGAGATAGATAGTTTAGGTAGCTCAGTCAGTGAGATAGATAGTTTAGGTAGCTCAGTCAGTGAGATAGATAGTTTAGGTAGCTCAGTCAGTGAGATAGATAGTTTAGGTAGCTCAGTCAGTGAGATAGATAGTTTAGGTAGCTCAGTCAGTGAGATAGATAGTTTAGGTAGCTCAGTCAGTGAGATAGATAGTTTAGGTAGCTCAGTCAGTGAGATAGATAGTTTAGGTAGCTCAGTCAGTGAGATAGATAGTTTAGGTAGCTCAGTCAGTGAGATAGATAGTTTAGGTAGCTCAGTCAGTGAGATAGATAGTTTAGGTAGCTCAGTCAGTGAGATAGATAGTTTAGGTAGCTCAGTCAGTGAGATAGATAGTTTAGGTAGCTCAGTCAGTGAGATAGATAGTTTAGGTAGCTCAGTCAGTGAGATAGATAGTTTAGGTAGCTCAGTCAGTGAGATAGATAGTTTAGGTAGCTCAGTCAGTGAGATAGATAGTTTAGGTAGCTCAGTCAGTGAGATAGATAGTTTAGGTAGCTCAGTCAGTGAGATAGATAGTTTAGGTAGCTCAGTCAGTGAGATAGATAGTTTAGGTAGCTCAGTCAGTGAGATAGATAGTTTAGGTAGCTCAGTCAGTGAGATAGATAGTTTAGGTAGCTCAGTCAGTGAGATAGATAGTTTAGGTAGCTCAGTCAGTGAGATAGATAGTTTAGGTAGCTCAGTCAGTGAGATAGATAGTTTAGGTAGCTCAGTCAGTGAGATAGATAGTTTAGGTAGCTCAGTCAGTGAGACAGATAGTTTAGGTAGCTCAGTCAGTGAGATAGATAGTTTAGGTAGTTACGTCAGTGAGACAGATACCTTAGGTAGCCCAGTAAGTGAGTTTAGGCAGTTCAGTCAATGAGACAGATACCTTAGGTACCCCAGTAAGTGAGATAGATAGATTAGGTAACTCAGTAAGTGAGATAGATAGTCGAGGTAGCTCAGTCAGTGATATAGATCGTCAAGGTAGCTCAGTCAGTGAATTAGATAGTTTAGGTAGCTCAGTCAGCGAGATAGTAAGTTTAGGTAGCTCAGTCAGTGAGATATATAGTTTAGGTAGTTACGTCAGTGAGACAGATACCTTAGGTAGCGCAGTAAGTGAGTTTAGGCAGTTCAGTCAATGAGACAGAAACCTTAGGTACCCCAGTAAGTGAGATAGATAGTTTAGGTAGCTCAGTAAGTGAGATAGATAGTCTAGGTAGCTTAGTCAGTGAGATAAATAGGCTAGGTAGCTCAGTCAGTGAGATAGATAGTTTAGATAGCTCAGTCAGTGAGATAGATAGTCTAGGTAGCTTAGTCAGTGAGATAAATAGGCTAGGTAGCTCAGTCAGTGAGATAGATAGGCTAGGTGGCTCAGTCAGTGAGATAGATAGTTTAGATAGCTCAGTCAGTGAGATAGATAGTATAGGTAGCTTAGTCAGTGAGATAGATAGTCAAGGTAGCTCAGTCACTGAGATAGATAGTTTAGGTAGCTATAGCTCAGTCAGTGAGACAGATACCTTAGGGAGCCCAGTAAGTGAGTTTAGGCAGTTCATAGTATAGGTAGCTCAGTCAGTGAAATAGATAGTTTAGGTAGCTCAGTCAGCGAGATAGTAAGTTTAGGTAGCTCAGTCAGTGAGACAGATAGTTTAGGTAGCTCAGTCAGTGATATAGATAGTTTAGGTAGCTCAGTCAGTGATATAGATCGTCAAGGTAGCTCAGTCAGTGAATTAGATAGTTTAGGTAGCTCAGTGAGTGAGATAGATAGTCTAGGTAGCTCAGTCAGTGAGATAGACAGTTTAGGTAGCTCAGTCAGTGATATAGATAGTTTAGGTAGCTCAGTCAATGATATTGATAGTTTAGGTAGCTCAGTCAGTGATATAGATAGTTTAGGTAGCTCAGTCAGCGAGATAGATAGTCAAGGTAGCTTAGTCAATGAGACAGATACCTTATGTAGCCCAGTAAGTGTGATAGATAGTTCAGGTAGCTCAGTCAGTGAGATAGATAGTTTAGGTAGCTCAGTCATTGAGATAGATAGTCTAGGTAGCTCAGTCAGTGATATAGATAGTTTAGGTAGCTCAGTCAATGATATTGATAGTTTAGGTAGCTCAGTCAGTGAG